GGAGTTGGAGGTCCTGGCACTGGCGGTACTGGTTCTGGGGGTGCTGAGTCTGAGGAGACTGACGCTGGAGACCCTGGTTCTGCGGAGTCCACCCCGCCCCCCCACCGCCACGACACGCGACTCCAGGCTGCCCGTCGGCGTGATCGTGAGGAGCAGGAGCGGTTGGAGAGGGAGCGGCAGGAGCTGCGGGTGCTGGACCTTCTGGAGCAGCAGCGGCAGCAGCAGCAGCAGCAGCAGCAGCAGCAGCAGAAGCAGCACCAGCAGCAGCAGCAGCAGCAGCAGTAGCAGCAGCAGCAGCAGCAGCAGCAGCAGCAGCAGCAGCAGCAGCAGCAGCAGCAGCAGCAGCAGCAGCAGCAGCAGCAGCAGCAGCAGCAGCAGCAACAGCAGCAGCCGCAGCCGCAGCCGCAGCCGCAGCCACAGCCGCAGCAGCAGCAGCAGCCGCAGCCGCAGCAGCAGCAGCAGCCGCAGCCGCAGCGGCCGCAGCCGCCACCGCAGCTTCCTCTAGAGCGGCGGTTGTTCCCACCTGTGAGTACGAGCATCTGATGGTCCAGATCGCTCGCTGCTGTGATGTCGATCTGGACCGTTAAAGCCGGGATGATGGGCGGGAGGCGGGGAGGGGGGCGAGGAGGAGGGGGAGGCGGGTAGGGAGTTTCCTTACAGCAGACCTGGGAGCGGGGAGGGTGGGAAGGGAGATTCGGCAACAGGGAAAGGGAAATGCTTTGATTATACTCGAAAGCGGGGCAAGGGAAGAGGAGGAGGCGGAGGAGGCGGGTAGGGAGATTCCTTGCAGCAGACCTGGGAGTGGGGAGGGTTAAGAAACGGGCTATGGGGGGTTTAGGAGCAGGGAAAGGGAGGATCAGAAACGGGGTAAGCGGGGGACAAAAAAGAGGGTAATTGCTAGTAGAAACCTGAAAGCAGGAAAGAAAAAAAGAAAACGCGTTGGAAGGGTCAGGTGAAAGCGAGTGGGTGGTTATTTCTTTGAGGGGTCTCAAAAGTAGAACCAGGCGTTGGAAGGGGGAGGTGCAGGCGGGTGGGTGGGTGGGTGGGTGGGTGGGTGGCTCGATTCTTGCAGGGACAAGGGCAGGCTTGGAAGGATGGTAGGGGGCGAGGGAGAAGGACAGGAGGCAATCTACACGTCAGACTTCTAAAAAGCATTTCAACATAGCAGTTTCGAATGAAGCAAGTACACAGATGGAATGGGACGAATGGGGAAGTGGTGTGCTTGCATGCACACCTGAATCCTGTTGGGAGATGGGAACTGGGGGCGGTTGGATGCACAGTGGAAGCCTGCAGCGGAAGGGCGGTAGGCGGGAGGGGAGATGGGGGGATGGGTAGGGAGATGGGAGATGAATCTTGCTGCTCTTGCATGCTCGCCTGAATCCTGTTGGGAGATGGGGACTGAGGGCGGTTGGATGCATAGTGGAAGCCTGCAGGGAAGCGCGGAAGGAGAGAAAGGCGGGATAGGAGAAGGAGAGAAGGGGAGACGGGGAGATGGGGATGGCAAGGGAGACAGTAACAACAACAGAGAGTTTAGGGGGGGGCTTAATGATGCACAGCGAAACCTTGCAGCAGAGAAGGGGACACTCCTCCTGTCCGCTCCCAGTCTCTTCCTGTGTTTGTTCCTCCGTTGCCTCCTCCTGACGACCGTCCGGCGGTCTGGTCTTCTCCTCCTCCTCAGTCTCCTCCTCCCTCTGTCCGTCGCGACTTGATCACTCGTTGTCCTCCGCGTGCTCGTCACTCGTCCCCTGTTACTGACCTCCACACTGCCCTCCTTTGTTCGTCTCGTCGTCGTTCTCCTTCTCCTGTGTCCGTTCTCCCGTCTCCTCCTCCGTCCTCTCTACCTGCCCTCCCCACTCCTATCTCTGACTACTACCGCGCTGTTCGTCCTGTTGGCGCTCGTGTCCTCACCACTCTTGTCACCGACCCTCGTTTCCCTCCGTCGTCTGTCTCGGCTCTCACTGCCGCTGTCGCTGAGTTTGCTGCCGCCAGCCGCCTTGACTACGCCACCCGTGTGGTGCCAGCTCCTCCCTACCGTCCTCTGTCCGTCGGGGGTGGGTTTGCCCTTGGCTGTGACGTCCTAGAGGACAGAGAGTCCGAGCTGGAGTACTGGGCAGCCGCTTCTCCCTCTGTGTGTGCCATGCTGCTCTCCCCTGAGGGAGACCCCGACGCCCTTGACATACCGACTCCTCGCACTTACCGCGAGGCAGTGTCAGGGGCCTGGGCCTCTCAGTGGAAAGCGGCTATGGACTCAGAGTTGGCGTCTTGGAGATCCACAGGCACCTACGTCGACGCAGTTCCCCCTCCCAGGGCGAACGTAGTCGATGGCATGTGGCTCTTCAAGGTGAAGCGGCCGCCTGGAGCACCGCCGGTGTTCAAGGCGCGCTACGTGGCTAGGGGTTTCAGTCAGCGTGAGGGAGTTGACTTCTTCCAGACCTTCGCCCCGACCCCGAAGATGACTACTCTTCGGGTGTTACTCCACATAGCAGCGCAGCGAGACTACGAGCTGCACTCCCTCGACTTCTCCACTGCGTTCCTCCAGGGCCGACTGCACGAGGAGATCTGGCTGCGCCGTCCTCCTGGCTTCACTGACACCTTCCCACCTGGGACCCAGTGGAGCCTGAGGCGACCAGTCTACGGTCTCCGCCAGTCGCCCCGTGAGTGGCACGACACTCTTCGCTCCACGCTTCGTGACCTTGGGTTCAGCCCGTCCTCCGCCGACCCGTCGCTGTTTGTTCGAGCGGGTTCTACTCCTTTCTTTATCCTTGTCTACGTCGACGACTTGGTGTTTGCTACAGCAGACAGGGCAGCCCTGGCTCAGGTGAAGTCCGAACTGCAGAAGAGACACAAGTGCACTGACCTGGGTGAGCTGCAGCGCTACCTTGGCCTGCAGATCACCCGGGACAGAGCCGCTCGCACCATCACACTGACGCAGTCACACATGGTGCAGCAGGTCCTTCGGCGGTTCCACTTCCAGTTCTCCACCACACAGCCCACTCCTCTTGCTGTTGACCACAGACTCACGGGCCCCTTTCCTGACGAGCCCTTTGAGTCCAGTGGACCCTACGCAGAGCTGGTGGGCTGCCTCATGTACCTGATGACTTGTACTCGACCGGACCTCGCCTTTCCACTCAGCATCCTTTCTCGCTTTGTTGCGACTGGGAGACACCGCCCTGTCCACTGGACAGCTGCTGTGAGGGTGGCGAAGTACCTGGCGACTACATCAGGCTTGGGGCTTGTGCTTGGAGGGACTCAGCCAGTGGCGTTGACTGGTCACTGCGACTCTTCCTACGCTGACGACGTGGAGACTCAACGTTCGACTCAGGGTTACTGCTTCAGTCTGGGAGCTGGTGCTGTGTCGTGGAGGTCTACACGGTCGTCGTCTGTGGCTACTTCCAGTGCAGAGGCAGAGATCTACGCTGGTGCCATGGCGGCACAAGAGCTTCGCTGGTTGACCTTCTTGCTCGCTGACCTTGGTGAGCGGCCTCGCTCTGCACCGACCTTGTACGCTGACAACAAGGCCATGATCCTCCTGTGTCGAGAGCCTCAACTGGAGAGCAGAGTGAAGCATATTGACGTGAGGTACTTCCTCCTGCGAGAGCTGCAGCGACGCGGTCAGGCACGCCTGGACTTTGTGGCCTCAGAGGCCAACACTGCAGACGTCTTCACCAAGGCCTTGGCGCTTGGTGACCACCACAGGTTCTGTGTGCAGTTGGGGCTTGTTGAGGTAGGCCCTCGGTTGGTGTAGTCCTGTTGCTTGCTCTGCTTGTTGTGCTTTGTATTTATATCCTAGTGAACTCTTGAACTGGCCTTGTGGCCGCTTGCTTGCGCTCGGAATTTGTGTGGTGTCCTTGAGATCCACTCTGAGCTTGCCTTGGTTCTTGCTTTGACTGGTCTTGTGACCGTTTGTTCACCTTGCTTGCTTTGATGCCCCTCACTTAGCCTATGGGGGTGTGTCAAATGTTGAACATTGATATGATAGGCTATAGTGAGTTGCACTCTAGGGGGTACAGCTTCTAGGGTTGCTCATTTGTACCCCATTCGTTTCTATTCCAATCATTCCGTTGTTCGCTAACTTTGAGATAATAAAATCAAATAGTGTACAATATAGGCTTTTGGGTCATCCCCTCCCCCCCCCCCCCCCCCCCCCCCCCCCCCCCCAAAAAAAAAAACTTGATATTAGTCTATCTTTATGCTTACGCAAACGGCGGAACAAAAACCTGCAATTTTATTTGTATAAACAAATTAGCAATTGTTAATCCATGCAGAATAGAAAGGTATAATAGAATCAACGCAGTCAGTCATTGCAGCATACCAGACAGGAAAGTAGACCGCCTAAACTTCACTAATATTTTGTCACCAGATAGCCTTGCCCAGCCTGCTAACATCATGGCCAGTGAAACATATGCTAAGGGGATTGGACACCACATGCACCAAGCGTCAACATGCAGCAGCAGCAGAGCCATGTAAGAAGTCTCAACACAAGCATGCTCACACACGCGGCTTCCTGCTCTGGCCTCTGGGGGTTAAAGCCCCCTTTCCTTTCCACTGAACCACCGAATGGATTACACAGCACCCTTTTCCCCTCAGCCAACCAAGAGGTCTCAGCCCGCTTCCCTCTCACCACCCACCCACCCAAGGGGTCTCATCAGTCCCCTTCCATCTCAACTGCGCAATCAAGGAATTTCAACCCCCTACCCTCTCAATAACCCACCCAAAGAGTTATCAGCTCCCTTCTCTCACACTCACCCAAGCGGATTCAGACCCCTTATTCTCACCTAATGACATCCACTGCTTGCAGTTGGCTAAGACATGGACAGCACAGCACAGCTAGACAACATCAACCATTATGAAGAGTTGTCAGTGGCAACACATCAAGACGATGAGCCGTCTTCATGCACACCCACATTAAGCTCCCATACTTGCCAGGCCCAATGTCTCGGCCAATCCCTGCATTTACATTCTACATCTGGCATTTGTGGTCGTTGAGAATTGCGTAACACTCATGAGAGATTGTTAAAGAGGCTGCGGTTCAAAAAGAGAGATGACGGTTGCTGCTGACCCTGCTGCTGCTGACCCTGACCTAACAACATATTGGGTTGCTGCTGCTGCTGCTGCTGCTGTTGCTGCTGCTGCTGCTGCTGCAACAAAGCCAAAAGCTGCTGCTGTTGCTGCTGCTGTTGTTGCTGCTGCTGCTGCTGCTGCTGCTGTTGCTGCTGCTGTTGATGCTGCTGCTGCTGTTGCTGCTGCTGCTGAGCGGCCAGAAGTGCCTGTACAGCTTGAGGCTGCCCTTGCAAGAGCTTTAGCAGCTGGCCGAGCTGACCATCAAGTGAAGCTGCAGGCTGGTGGGGGGAGAGCGGGGAAGGCGGCCCTTGGGCACCAGCAGCAGCAGTAGCAAGAGCAAGGGAATTGGAGGCGGCAGCAGTGTTGGGGAACTGGGAGAGCGGTGGCAAGCCGGCTGCTGTTCGCAGCATCTCGACCTGGTCGTGCAAGTGCTTGTTCTCCACTGCACACACACACGCCATGCACCGCAGGACGGACAAGCAAGCAAGGTGAAGCCCAGGGGAATACGTCAATGGATGAGATACCCTGGAATGAGCTTCACACGCAACGGCAATGAATGGAGAGAGAAAATGGCAATGAATGGAGAGTGAAAATGGCAATGAATGGAGGGTTGAAAAAGGAAAGCAGCGAGGTCATCTCATCACGCGGCACTTGCCTTCGCTCTGCTGGTACAGCTGCTCCAGCAGCTGCAGCTTCTTCGTCATGCCATCATTCGCTTCTGCCAGTGATGTCGTCTCCCTCTGTGAGGTGAAGTGTGTGTGTGGCATGAGGCACAAAACAACCATGTTTGTATCTTTCCCCCTTAGCCGTGCGAGAAACCCTAAACTAACAGAACACAACCAAGCGTGCGCTTTAAGGGCGAGGAGTAGTGCGGTGTGGGAGGGGGGGGGATACAAAAAGGAACGAGAAAGCGGGGAATAACAGGAAATAACTACAGAGCAACAATGTTGAGGCGAGGAGGCAAGGCGAGAGGGGCGACCTGCAGGATGGAGAGTGTGGCCTTGAGTGCGTGCGCCTGCTTCTCGTACGCGGCGAGCTTCTCCTCCAGCTCCATGATGTACCTCGTCTTGCGCTCCTTGGACCGCGCCGCTGACAGCCGGTTCGCCAATATGCTGCACGCGCTCATGGCCACACGCACCACGCGAGGTATGCAGAGGAAAAAGGGTTCCGGGAGCCCAGTGAAAAGGAGAGCACGTCATGAAGACGCGTCCGTTGCATGACCTAACGACCTCTGTACCCGCACCCCATTCACAAAGCTCCCACCCACCAACCGCTCCCAAATCGCTCCTGAGCAGGAATCATCCAAGCAGACGCGGGTCCGAGAATACTGGGCAGAACTTGCCTTTCCGCTCTTACCTCTGAGTCGTGCCGCCTCGTGTGGAACAGCAAGGCAGATTACGGTTTGGCAGATTACGGTTTGGCGGAGTGTGCGCGTACCGTTTGGCCTTCTTGGCGTCGATGACCTCGTTATCAGCAGCCGTCTTCTTGGTGGCCATGACGCGCCGCACGGCGTCCTCGTCGTCCAGCTCGTCCACCTCGTCCTTTATCGACAGCCCGCCGTCCGCGCGCCGCCCGCCCCGCCGCAGAGGGCTGCTGCCGTTGAGCGGGCTGCAGATGGGGCTCAGCGAGTCCCGAATGGGGCCCGCCTTGAACATGAACGCGTCGTCCACGGAAAAGCTCCGCGAGTGCCCTCCGCCGCCCCCGCTGCTGCCCGGAGCCCCGCGCGCCCCTCCGGTATGTCCCGCATGCCCGCCATGATAGCCCCCCACTGCCCCCGTCTGCCCGCCACCTTGCGCGCCGTAACCGCCGCCGTGGCTCCCGCTAGCCCAGCTGCCCCCGCCCGCAACGCCACCGCCTCCGCCAGCCGACCCGCCAACCGCTCCCGCGCCTCCGCTGCTGCTGGCGGCCCCTCCGCTGCCCGCGCTGTCCGCGCGGTGATGGCCGGCCTGATACGACGTACCCCCTCCGGCAGCACCGCCAGCACCGCCAGCAGCAGAGGGGTTAGCGAGCGAGGCAGTGCCTCCAAGGCCGCCTATGTCGACCATGTCGGCGAAGAGCGCGTGCTCCATGGCGCTCCCCATGTGCACGCCCTTGCCCGCCGCCGCCGCCACCACGTCCATGTCGTCCGACAGTATCGCGTCGCTGCCCGCCCCGCTGCCGCCGCTGCCGAAACAAAACCCCTGCAGGCTATCGCTGGCCACTCGACGATGGCCGAACTTCTTCGGAGGATACTCGGATATCTGGTTCATTAGATCGCCGAACGGCAACCCTGGCACTCCGGCATTCAGGTGCCCCATCCCTCCACCCGAACTACCCAAGCCTCCGCCCCCATGGCCCATGTCCATCCCCGATGGCCCGCCGCCAGTGCCCGTGTCCATGGGTACGTCCCGCTGCGTGTAACCGCCGCGTTATATCGCTCACCGCGCCGAACGACGCCCGCCACGTGCAGCCTGCGGTGCAACACGAAATAGATAAGAAAACACACATAAGATTGCACGAAGTTACGGCGAAAAAAACCCTCGAGGGTGAGAGCGAGAGCGAGAGAGAAAGAAAGAGACGGTTAACCAAATAAGTGAAGGGTTGGAAAGGTAAGCTAGAGAAAGATGGGAAAGGAAAGGAGTGCGAGAAAAGAGTTCCAGGTAAACTGAAAACTGGTGTTCTTTCATCGTATCGAAAAAAGCTCTGACCACATGACACTTACAAGTAGGTCCGGTTGGGACGTGGAGTAGTCACACGGGCGCCTCACGCAACCGACTAACACACAGTACGTTGGACAGCGGGTGCGGCTTCTTAGAACTCCGTGTACGAGTTTCCAGAATCTAAGGTTCCAGCTTATGCTAATGAAACACAGGGAAGAGCCAGCATACGAGAAGCTCACAACAGCTATGTGAGAAAGGTGCGTACAAGAGGGCGTGATTCGCGAGGCCAAGGGATGTACGGTGCTCAAGTGGCTGAAGCAGCAGGTTAGGGTTGGAACTTGGAACTCGAGTTTCGTGCTTCACGCTGATTGGCACGTGCAGTCTCCCCCAATATGCGGCGTGGCTTTTCATGCCTGGGAAAAAACGCGAGGCTGACCCTCCGCTGAACTCGAGTTTTTCTGCTCCAGCCAGGTTACCCACCTCACTTCCCCACAGGTTCGACCGACCAATGTACAGTCCAGTTTCCCTGCCCGCCCTTCGCCAGTTGGCTTCGATTTGCCCGAAGGCATCCGAGTCACCCCGACAATGTCGCCAATCAGACCACACCTGTTTGTTCTCAGGTCAAATCGAAAATGCCGATCCTCGCCCACAACCACCAAGTGCCCTCCAACCCATGTTCCTCCTTATCCTCCCCCCTCCAATATACACGGAGGCTTGGTCTGGCCACACAGCTGGAAATGGGGGGTTTGTATCACCTGGCAGATTTGAGTCTTGCGCTGAGACGGATTCTATTCGAATCGAACCTTCTGCACGGGTAGTTTCGATCTCCAGTAGTTGTCGCGATCTCGTGCTCTATTCGTCTCTGGTAATTTCGACAAGCCCAATTTTCGTTGAAATACCTTTCGTATGTATCCTTTTTCCTCTCCTGCCGCTTCGCGTCACCTCCTGCACTCACTTTCTCGACCGCCTCCCAGCGACTTCCGGCGTGCTTCAAATACCCCATCTCCTCTCTGCCCCCCGCCGTCCGCCGTGCCGCCAGCGGGGCGCATAAATGATGAGCTGGGGGGCGTCCTCACGGGGAAGCTGCGCGGGGAGGGTCTCGTGCGCGCCAACCGTCGTGCGCCCGTACTCCCTCAGCGAGGAGCTGGTGGGCGCGGCGCTGCACTTCCACCAGGGTGACAACATGACGGTGAGCCATGCCACCATCACGTTTCAGAAGCTCTGGTGTATCTTCTCGCCATGCGCGCCTCCCACCCCATGCGCCCGTCACACGCATCTGCATTGGCGCTTGCAGCATTCGGCCCGTTGCGGCAAGGCCTGGGGCTGAACCGTTGTCGCCAGCTCACCAGCCATGCCATGCTGGCACTCGCTGACAGGGCAGCTGCCACGGCCGTGATGGCAAGCAAGCACGTCTTCTCATAACTACCATGTGTGGGAACATGTGCGAGGACGGCCGCTCTGACGACACGAGGCATGAAGTCTGCTTGCCCCTGTGCATGTGAGTACCATTACTGATCCGCTGATACCAATTCCGATTCAATGACTTGCATTCTGTGCTGCTCCCACATAACTCCACTGCACCGCTTCATTCACGCCAGCACATGGTCACCTGCATTGCATAGCTTTCCATTCACATTCATATTCTCCTCTCTGCATTACCCTGCCCTCACTTCTTGCCAGAACCTTCACCCCCTGAACCCTGAACCCGCTTACCCCTGGGCAACATCCCCAAGCGCCCCTCCCCAACACCAGCGCCTGCATGACCCAAGCCATGCACTGCCATGCTCCCATGCCACCACTGCTTGAACCCCTGTTTGACCGCGTGTGGAGCCAAAGTGCTGGCAGTGTGGGCACTGCTGATGAGAAATGTGAGCACAGAGCTACTGGATAGGTCCGTTGTGCATGCCACTGCCGGTGTGCACCTGTGTGCCAGTGGACTTGTGGTTTCTTCGGTGAGACCAGACGCTTATGGCGAGGGAGTATAACTGCATGTGCTCACTTGCAAGCAAGGAGAATTGCAAGTGTTTGTAGTAATGCAGGAAATTAAAGTGGTGCTTTGACATGCTTTCATGGTGGGTACAATTGAGGATTTTTATTCACACACGCGAAATGTTGCTTGGGACAGGAAAAAAAATTACGTTACCGTACATAGTTCAGCCTTTGGTTGTCACTGGTTTGCTCGCCTAGATGTGAGTGCCACAATGTGATCCTTGCTGAATTGTCACCAAGACAAGACCCTTGGCGCACTTGACAAGAAGAACAAGAGAATCAGACTTCACACAAACAATCCCGTGGAAAAGCGTAAAACCCTCCTTTCGCTGCAGCCTTCTCATTGCTCTCCGTCTGAGTGCTAAGGTCGCCCTTGAGCAGCCGATTGCGAAGCTTCTGAGAAGCCTCGTGATCCCCTTGTTGGATGGCAGCGAGGAGGCGGTGGATGGAGGAGCCAAAGAGGTGCACCGTGCCACCCACACCATTGTACCTGCAAGTGGGCGCGTGGGGCGGGGAAGTGGATCAGGTGCAGGAGAAGTGGAGGGAGTGGGAGGGGAAGAGAGCTGTTGTGGCAGAGGTGTATGTAGGCTTATTGTGGACAGATAAAAGAGGGCAAACAGCAGTCAAAAGGCGTGTGAAGCTCGCACGCTCTGAAGGCAGCAATCCCCCCCCCCCCCAGGCAGCACCTTCTGTGGCCCGCTAGCAGGTGGGCCATGTTGCCCTTGTTGTTAGTGACGAGCAGCGCCGCCCCCCGACACATCTCATAGTCCACCGCTGCCAGCAGCGTCTTCCGCCCCTCCACCCCTGCCAACGCCCCTCCGCCCTCCGCACCCACCCCTCCTTTCCCACCCCCGCCCTCTCCCCCGCCCCACGCCTCATCCCCCTCATCCTCGTCGTCATCCCGCCCCCGTGTGTGGGCGTGGGCCATGGCGTGGGAGTGTGCGAGGGAGTGCTTGTCCGTGGTGAAGGGGAAGGCGCGCAGCAGCGGCTGCAACGCTGCCGGCCCACCGTGCAGCGCCCCCGACGCAATGTACACGCGCGTGGATGGTGGCAAGCCCAGCGCTTGCAGGGCCACTGCCACCTGGGGAAGGCGGGCAGGCAGGGGAGAGGGGGGGAGGAGGGGGGAGGGGGGGTGTTGTGGGGAGAGGTGAGAGGGTAGATGGTTGTGGCAGGCAGTGAGTCGCTGAACAGTGGTAGAGAGCATGCTGCACTCAATGCGGACAGCAGTTGCCCATGTGCTCAGTGGCTCATGGCATGGCATGGGCAAGAAACGCAGCTCATGGCATGGCATGCAAAGGCGTGACAATGCACATGCCTGGGAGGGGGTGACGATGCACATGCCTGGGAGGGGGTGACGATGCACATGCCTGGGAGGGGGTGACGATGCACATGCCCTTGGCCCTCTGCTTCTCAGCGTCCATGGCGGGCAGGTTGGCCCAGCGCTGTCGGATGGACTCAAACACTGCCTTCTCCTCCGCGCCCCCCTCGTACTCGCACCCCGTGAACGCCAGCATGTCCGGCTCGTACCTGCCATGGCGCATGGCACGTCACGTTGTGCATGGCATGGCACGGAGGGAACACATGGAATGGATCGATTGCACCATGTGCAGTCGCATGGATGGCGCCTTGTGCTTGACAAGGGATGGATAAAAGTTGCAAATGGTCTCTTGAGCACAACAGGTGGCACCGGAAAGGCACCGGAAAGTGCATGGTTAGTGAATGGTTATGGCACAATTGAGTGAGGTTAATTACACCAATTACAGGATAGTAAGAACCACAAAGGTCACCTCTAATTCCTCTTTCATCCCAAGCCCATGTCACGGTCACCCACCATGTGCGCCTCACCTCAGATGAATCGCCACATACTTGACCGCCTTGCCACTCCCCTTCGCCTGCATCCCTCCCTCCACCTGCTCCCTCTCTCCCCCCTGCCCTTGTGCGCCTTGAGCTGCTGCTGCAGCAGCCACGGCAGCACCGCCGGCCTGAGCAGCATGCTTTGCAGTGTGGAGGGCAGTGGACGCGGTGGTGGCGGAGGGGTGGGTGAGCGCGTGGGTGAGGCGTGTGACAGCTTGAGTGACCGCCGGCACGAAGCGCAGCGCCTCGTAGTTTGCCATGCAGCGCAGCTGCGATGGGGGGGACAGAGGGGGGGGAAGGAGGGGAGGATGGGGGAGACAGGGGTTGTGGGGGGAGGTGGAGGGGGGAACGAAACAGTGGCAGGAGAGGGGAACGATGAGTAGAGTGGGTGAGACGCCATGTGGTTTACCAACGTGGCAATCTCTGTATTCGCGGTACCTGCACCATTGAACTCATAGCGCGCTCGAAAAGAAAGAACGGTAAGGAGAAACAAGAAGTATTGGAACACGAATGTGATTTTGAGCCGGTACCTTCTGCAGGTCCAACGGTAGTTGGTCATGCAGCCTCGAATCGAAATGGTTCAGCTTCAGCACCTGCGCCTTTCTGCCAGTAGGGAGGGGGGCGGGGAGAAGGGAGAGAGCAGAGCGTGAAGCATGAGACAGGGAAGAGACGGCGGTAGAGCAGGCAGGGGGAGTGATGCAGGAAGGGATATAGCAGCGAAAGGATAGGAAGGGTGGATGAAGCAAGGACGAACAGCAGTGCCTAATTACTGCTATCATGTGCTTTCACTGAATCCGTGCCACTGCCATCAGCAGCAGCGCTATCCGCACGATTGCCACAAGCATGCGTACAGCAACAAACACCACAGGCTTTTCTTTTAAAACGACCTGCCACGTGTCGCACGCACAGCACCTGATCATCGGCCTGACATGTGTCTCGTAGTACTCGGCGGTGGACCCGCGTGGCACGGTGCGCTCAAGTGCGGGGCGGTGTCTGAGCGCGGAGGGCAGGCGGTCCACCACTCGCACCCACGGGGCCAGCGCCCTCGCAAAGTGCCCCGCGTCAAACACGTCCGCGAATGTGCTGGGGGGGGAGGGTGAGGGTGGTGGGGAACGATCAAGGTGAAAGGACGATGAAAATGGAGGGTGGGACGTGTAGGAAGAGCGGATGTGGGAGGTGGGAGGAAGGTAGGCGAATGAATGAGGTACGGTGGGGAGTGAAGGCATACAGTGATCGGGCAGTGCTTCCACCGGCACCAACGGTACTGCTCTCCCACGCTCGTTCTCGGTGGCCATCTCAACAGCCACGTGCCATTACTCTCTCACGTGCCAGCCATGGGCCTCACCTGCCGTCGGCCCACCAGGAGGAGTTATCCAGCTGCGGCAGCATGAGCGACGCCCCCAGCAGCTTCGCCACCACCACCGCGTCACAGATCTGCCACCCCGCATGGCAGAGGCGTGTGGGGGGTCCGGGGATGCAGGAACGGGAGGGCCGGGGGAGGAAAGGGGTGGAGTGAGGGGAAGTGGGGAAGGTAAGGGAGGAGGGATTGAGGCGGGGGGTAGGCTAAATGCAGAAACCAGCAAAGCAACAAGTACGAAGAAGGTGGATAGCAGCGGAGGGAGCGAGCATGAGAATGAGGATAGGGAGCGAGATAGAGAGCCCCCCACCCACCCCTGCGCGCATCTGGTTGAGCCCCCCTGCGAGCTGCACCAGCAGAAAGCTCCCCTGCTCCTCCCCGCCTCTGCCTGCTGCGCACACAGCAGAGCAAATGCAGGGCAGGTTAGCACGGGGAAGCATGCATGAGCGGAAGGAGGTGCTTGGAGCGAACACGGAAAAGAGGGCGAGCGTCGGGAGAGAAGAGGGGAATACAGCAAACACACAGCCTTACTTCACAGGTGCATCTCAACGGAGACAGTCACGCCCTTTACACTCGTGTGACAGTAACAGCCACACGTGCTTGATAGTTGACCGTCACGAATGACCCACCCATGGCAGCTGGCAGTGCGGCGGCTTCTCCCGCACACCCCCTCCAACTCACCCCGCCCATCACCGGCCACCCATCCTCCTCCACACCTCCCACCTGACCGCCCTCGTCTGCCTGTCGTCACGATAACGGGCGCAGAGGGACGAGAGGAACAGAAGGGAGAGTTGAGGCAACGGGGAGGAGGTGGGGCAGAAAGGGGCAGATGTGCGGCTGAGTGAGGAGGGAGGGGCAGAGCGGGGAGAGCGTTGCACATGGAACGGGAGGAGGGGAGGGGAATGAGATGGAAACATAGAGGGTTGCGCGCAGACGAGGGTAGGGGAGGAACAATTACTTGGAGAAAGGGGTCCTCGTCTGGGTGCGTGGACTGGTCGCGAAACGGCAGGCCGGCGCGCAGAAACGCGATGCAGCACGCCGCGCCCAGCGCCGCCAGCAGTGCCGCCTTGAGCGCGCGTTGCTGCCCCCACCGCGATGCTGGCGGGGGTCGGACGCCGGGAGGTGGACGGGGGACGATGTCGTGTGAGCCTCGGCCGACTTGGATGGCGTGGGAGGGCAACGGTTACGAATTGGAGCAGCAGAAGCAGGGAGGACACGTCACAGGGAGGACAGAAGTAGGATCACGAGCGAAAAAAGAACCCCTGCCACGTTCTACAGAGGCGAATTGCAGCACGCGTGCCACCAGCGCTGCTGTTGCCACGGCTGCGGCGTACCGGTTCCAGGGGGCGGCGACGCCGCGCGAGGTCCACTCGGCCCGCGCCGTCGCCGCGCCACTGTCGCTGCCGTCGGCGACGACATGAGTGAATGCGTGACCACGGATGTCACGAGAACATGATCCGTCTCTCAGACTTGCCAAAACTTTCACGATGCGTACTCTGGCACAGTCGCAATGGTGCGTAGGATGACAGCGGCCACCCGAATATCACAAAATGTAGAATAGTCGGGCTGATGACCTCGTGTGGAATGTCAAGGCAAGGGGAACTGGATGTCACTTGGTATTCCATACCCGAGACAAGCGATTCCTGTTCTCCACTAGTGCTTAGAAGTTTGCAAAAGCAAGTCAGCCGACACTGTATCGTAGATAAGAGTCAAGGAGAAGTCAGGTATTTTCTTTCCACAGGCAAAATGATCTCTAGTTGGTCAGGGAAGGACACCAGGTCACCTTATTAACAATTTCATTCCTTAATTAAGTCTTCATTTCGTCCAAATGTACGAACCAAGTTATGGTTATTACTCAAGTGCGTTTGTCAAAAGCTACATTCCGAAGGTTCAATTTTATATCAGAGTTAAGATTTTATGGCCAATTTTCCTTGTAAGAGGAGAGGAAAACCTGCTCAACAAGGCCTTCTTGTACAATCTGTTGCGTTTCACAGTATGTCGTACTCTGTGACAGGGAAATCATACATAACAATGGCCTCGGTTTTGGATGCCATGTGGCACTTCTGAGACACTGTAATGCTGACGTCGGATGAATCCCAGATTGAGCCAATCCGTTGGCCTTCGTCCGTGCACCTGCGCAGCGCACCACGTCCATCAGTTCACTCCCGCCTGCAGTCGTCCCTTCCGGCCCACTCACTTCCTAGGCACTGCCCCCTCGCCCCGCATCATGCCAGTGTGCGTGCTGGAGACCAAGCATGATCCGGCCACATCACAACTGCCCTGCATAGCACTCGACCAGCTACCTTGTTTCGGCGATCCATTGTGACCGCACCTTGGCAAGCCATGGCAGCATCATCTCTTCAATGGCTGCCAGGTGCTACCGATGCATCCTTGCCGTCAAGTACGACGGTCCAACGCTCCACGGCAGGACAACTGTCGCTGCTCTCACAATGTAAGAGCGACTTTTGCGGGAGCCGTCCCTGGCTCCGACAGGGCGTGCTTGCGAGAGCTGGTGCATGCGGGTCGCGCGAGCTGCAGGTGCCGTCTGGATCTTCCCGGACGCGCCGCGGCAGGAGAGGGCTCGCCGTGCATGCAGCGGCTGCCGACGTGACCGACGTTTCGCCGCCAACTCCGTTGCCGTCGTCGCTGGAGCTCGCAGTCCAGGTCGCGCCACTGCCCGCATCCACCCCAGACTCCCCCATCCTCCCTCTGCCCCTCCTCTCCTTTCCGTCTCAAATCCTCGACCCCGCTGTGTCGTCTGCGGCCGATGCCGAGACGCTCATGAGCGTGTCGCTGCCGGCTGTCGAGCCGTCGTTGCGCCTGCAGCAATCCGTTGCATCGGCGGACGTGCGCGCGGCGGCAGCGGTGGTGGATGCGGTGGTGCTGGGCGATGCGATGGGGCCGCCGCGGTCGGTGGAGGATGCGATTCGCATGGCGATGCAGGGCGCCATGGAGGGCAGCGACGCGGACGACACGGCGGCGGAGGAAGCGGACGACGTTGTGGCGCGCGCGAGCAACCCCTTCCGCATGCGCGCGCTTGAAAAGCAGCCTGCCGAGCCTTCGCCCGCTGCTGCGCCCGCCCCTGCGTTGACCAGTGCGGCAGACGCGATGGCGGACGCAGGGGAGAAGCTAGCGGAGCTCGAGAGCGGACTGCAGAGCGCGTTGCAGAACTTGCTGCCACCTCTCAACTGGCCAAACCAGTCCGATCCTCCCGCCGACGCGCCAACCAGCCCTGCGCCCGCGCCGCCCGCCGCACTCCCTGTCGCCGCGCCTCCACCAGTCGCTTCTGCGCCCGCGGCGCTAGCAGCGCCCGCGAGCAGCGACGGCGAGGATCTGTCCGCCAAGTACCCCACGCTCTTCCGCCTGCTGCGCGAGCCTTCCTCTCTTCTGTCCTGGGGTGACGGCAGCGGAGGCGGAGCGGAGGGCGAGCGGTGGGGAGTGGAGAGCGTGGTGGAGGCGGGAGAGGAGGCGCTGGAGCTGCTGGGGGGGGAGCTGGACATCACGTTCCCCGACTTCCGCCCCGGGGACGCGCTTATCGCGCTCTCCTCCGCGCTCAGGGGCTTCATGCGCCAGCCCGCCGATGACAAGATCGCGCAGCTCGCGGCGGCCGGCGCGCTGTACGTGTACCTGACGGTGCGGCCCGGCGTGCTGGCCGGCGCCCTGGACGCGTACATTGCGGCGCCGCTGCAGTCGCTGACCGACACGGTGAGGGGCCGGCGGAAGTTCCGACGCACGGACTTCGTGGTGGGACGGCGGCTGGGCGAAGGCAACTTCGGCACCGTGTACGAGGTACGGGAAGGGAACGCGGTGGGGGAAAGCGGGGTGTAGGTGGGGAAGTGGTGAGGAAGCAGTGGTATGAAAACAAGCTGGCTTGATAAAGTTGTGCAGGAGTGTAGCAAAGATGGGAAGAACCATTGGAACACAAACTCACTCTTTGACCAGCAAGATAATTGTTTGGCATGATGGAAGGATGTGGTTGAAAGGTTCCGAAAACACAGTGGGCGCTTTGACAGAGCAGACAGGAGTGCAGAGGGCTTGGATGTTGCGCACGCGATGCATGGCTGCCTCGCACGCGCTCAGCGCCTTGTGTGCCCGCCCGCTGGCCGTGACTGTGACTGTGGCGGTGCAGGGCGCGCTGAAGAAGAAGGGCAAGGCGAGCGAGGAGGAGGAGTTCGGGCGCAGGTCCAGACAGCTGGAGGACCTCGATGAGCGCGAGATCAAGAGCCGAGTCATTCTCAAAAAGGTACCCTTTACCCATGCGCCTTCTACTTGCTGCTCGGCCAATGCCACATCCCCCTCCCCCCCCCTCATACGTCTCACCTCCCTTCTCACCCCTCCGTGTTTCTGGCTCGCTCCCCTTCCTTCATCTACCCGTCTTCTAATATGTGTGGACGTATCGAAGTTCCCAAAGCACCTTCCCCTCTTCCACAATCTCTCTCCACCCCTGCATTTCCTATCATTTCCACCTTCACTCTCCTGCTTTCCACCTTCTCCTCTCCGGGCACCATTTCCCTCTGTGCACCCCGCCCGCCCACTCCATGCATGTCCTCTGCTTCAGCATCTCACCTGACCCCTTGTGCACGACAGCTACCCCCTGTTCCCTCACAACGTGTTTCCCCTGCCCTGTGACTGGCGCTGGAGTGCAGGTGAAGACGAGGGTGATGGGAGGGGAGCAGAGTGGGGAGATGGAGGAGTGGTTCAACCGCCGCATGCAGCGCGTGGCGCCTGAGGCCTGTGCGCGCTTCATGGGCTCCTTCACTGCTGACGTCACTCGCGCTCAGTTCACTGAAGGGGGCAAATGGCTCGTCTGGAACTATGAGGTCAGCCAACAGTCTTCAGTCATCGTCGCATATTCATCTCAGAGCATTGTTTTTCTCTCCCACGAGTCATGCCATCTTTTGGTATTGCCACTTTCAGTGCGTGCTGTATAGCCATTCTCACTGTTGCAGCATCGATTGGTTGTGTGTGTCGGTGTGGTGGCAGGGCGACCGCACATTGCTGGACTACATCCGCGACAGGGACTTCCCAGACAACGTGGAGGAGGCCATCTTTGGCCGCGGGCAGGTGGTTCTGCAGGGCCTGGACCCGGTGGCACGGCAGGCCGTCACAGTCAAGCAGGTGCTGCGCCAGATGCTCATCTCCCTCAAGAAGATGCACGCCACGGGCATCGTGCACCGCGACCTCAAGCCCTCCAACCTCGTGCTCACCAACAGCGGCCGTGTGAAGCTGATTGACTTTGGGGCGGCAGCTGACCTGCGCATCGGCATGAACTACGAGCCCGAGCTCGCTCTGCTTGACCCTGACTATGCCCCTCCGGAGCAATTTGTGCTGCCTGAGGAAACACCTAGTCCACCTGCTGCGCCCATCGCTGCCATGCTCTCCCCAGCACTCTGGCAGGTATGTGTCAGGACCTTCAACTCCCAGCTCCTCCCTTTCCATCCCCTTCCACCATTTGTTTCTTCACCTCTCCCCATTGTCTCTAACCCTGTGTATGCCCTGTCTGTCCTGTGTGGTGCCCCCCCCACGCCACCAGCTGAACCACCCGGACCTGTTTGACACGTACAGCGTGGGCATCATCTTCCTGCAAATGGCATCGCCCACGCTGCGCTCGCCAGCGGGCCTGCAGACGTTCAAGAAGGAGCTCAGGGCAGCGCGCTACGACCTCAAGCGCTGGCGCAAGGAGACGCGCATGCGCCCCGATCTGCGCGTGCTGGACCTGGAGGGCGGGGCTGGCTGGGATCTGGTCACACGCCTTGTGTGCGAAAGGGGCACATGGCGCAAGGGACGCCTCTCCGCCGCCGAGGCTCTGCGTCACCCATACCTGCTGCTAGGCGTGGACCAGGCTGCCACTGCCTTCTCCAAGCTTACCCTGTCTAGATAGCAGTGTTTCTGCACCGGAAAGGTGGTTCAGCATATGAATGGTTTGTTTCCCAGGTATCCCCATTTGTTTGTTCATCTCACTTTTGCTTTCAATGTCAGGGTATGTTATGTTGATTGTTCAAGGCGGAAGTAAAATAAGCCTAGAGTTCACACCCATGACACGTTGACTAGTCGTAGCACACAAAAGTACAATATTACGATATTAAAGTATTGTCATGGTCATGGTTATGGAAGCAAAGCTATCTGAGTGTGGGTCATATATATTCATTCACATTTGACTAGGGTCAGTCTAATGTGGGAAGTTGTACAGCGCAAATAGTCAACGTTCTGGACCGCGCTAAAAGAACAGTACGAAAGGCTATGACTCGCTTTGAGCAAATGTGGATTCAAGCCTGCTTTCGCTGAGGTGCTTGTTTTCTGACACCTGATGACCCACCTGCACCGACACAGCAGTGCTGTGGCGTGTTCGCCAGCCTCCCCTCCGACACGGGCATTCTGACGAGTCACAGTCACAGAGCTACACTGTACGCAGTAACAACCAACCAACCACCGCAGATACTTCACTGCTATGGTCTACCCTTTCCGGTTGGGGGCCATGATAAATCGGGGGAATCGCGAGCCGAAGTCCGCTGCACCTTGCCGGAGATGTCGTGTCCATGCATGAGCCCAATTTCACAGTAAGGTGTCCCTTGCTGCGGTCCACTTCAAACATTTCGGGTAAGGTGTATCCCACACTAAAACCCATCCGCCATTTTGTCCCACCTGGCTATTTTTCTTCCCCTATCAGTTGCCAGAGCTGGCACAGGGTAGTGTGAAACATGTCACCAGCAATACAGAGTATGTTTTCGGCAGCCACGAACAAGTTCCGAGCAGCTGGGGGTAACACATGACCGTTCAGAAACCTGTGATTAAAAAGGGTTGTGAATCTGATCACTTTGCTGGAGCAGGGAGGATGCAGTCGCCGCGCTGCGCTGCAACAAGCAAGCAGCAAAAAGCAAAGCCACAGCAAGCAGTGATTGGATGCAGCCAGCGCAGCTTAGCAAGCGGTGCACCAGCACACCCGAGACGCGAACAAGCTTATCCAGGGTGCGTGGTGGTCGTCGTGATCTTAGTAAGGGTGTGCTATGCCATGCAACTTATCTTTTTCCCACCAGAATTCATGACCAGCGTCATTTCACAACACAACGCTGATCACGTTGTGGTGGGGCCTTGCTGATCGTGCCGCCGCTAATCTCGTTGCTAGCGATCCTGAAGTATTCATGGCACTTGCAGCAGGCATGGCCAAGAGGCGTCGTGAATTCGCGTCGCGAGTGCAGCTCATTACGCTCGACCTAGTTCTGCTCCTACTGCTGTCGCCCTCCCATCATTCCCTCGCCGCGGCCGCCTGCACCGCTGCATTCCCCTCCGCGTCCACCTGCTTCCCCGCGTCCGCCTCTCACCGCGCCTTGATACAGCTCTTACGACCAACCTCCGTCGTAGGCGCTCTCCACAGCTCTTCGCCTGGAAACCGCGCTCTACCGCTCAACGGCACAGCGTCGCTCAACGGCACAGCGTCGCTCAACGGCACAGCGTCGCTCAACGGCACAGCGTCTCTCAACGGTACAGCGTCGCTCAACGGTACAGCGTCGCTCAACGGTACAGCGTCGCTCAACAGTACAGCGCCGCTCAATGGCACAGCATCGCTCAACAGTACAGCGCCGCTCAATGGCACAGCATCGCTCAACAGTACAGCGCCGCTCAATGGCACAGCATCGCTCAACAGTACAGGGTCGCTCAATCGTACAGCATCGCTCAACGGCACAGCGTCGCATAACGGCACAGCGTCGCTCAACGGCACAGCGTCGCTCAACGGCACAGCGTCGCATAACGGCACAGCGTCGCTCAACGGCACAGCGTCGCTCAACGGTGGCGGCAGCGATGGGAGTGCGTCGCTCAGCGGCAGGGGCGGCGGGCCAGTGGAGAAGGTGGGGCGGGCGGCGGAGAAAATAGCGCACGCGGTGGGGGAGGTGGGGCAGGTGGCGAAGCAGGTGGTGGAGATGTACGTGCGCCCCAACGCGCGCCCGCGCATCCCGCTCGGCCCCACCATCATCAAATGGCTCAAGCGCTCGCCCATCCCCCAGCAGGTCCGCCCGCTGCCCCGCGCCTCTTGCACGTCAGAAGGGGGAGAGCATGGAAAGAGAGGGGAGTGAGATGAGCGAGAAGAACGATGGGACGGGTGGGAGAGAGGGGAGAGTGGTGGAAAAGGAGCAGTGAGATCGATGGTGCGATCCGTGGGGCGGGCTATTAGTGCGTGTGGGACGTTGTGGATGCGTTGCCACCATGCACGCACACCCTCTTTGCCCCGTAGTAATGATTGAGCTCTCCAGCTAGGGGGTTAGAGAGGGAAAAAGGAAGATAATAGACGAGGTCGCGTGTGGGCGGCGACGAGTGTGAGGAATTGCAAGGCATGAGGGTGGGTGAAAGCAGCGCGGCTGCATGCCTCGTGCACGCACACTCAAGCCAGTCGTTAATTCTACCCAGGCCCGTTGTCTCATCTGTGTGCGGTGTGTGCGCGTGGCAGGTGCACGTGTCGCTAGCGAGTGCGACGGCGGGGGCGCTGGCGATGCGCATCACATGGATAACGAGCCAGCCCCGATGCCTGTCGCTCGTCACGTGGGGGCTGCACCCCAACGCGCTCAACCGCCTCTCGCGCGGCACCTCCTCCTCCTACCAGTTCCTCTTCTACAGGTGCTGCCCCACCCGCGCACGCACTGCACCGCACTGCACCGCACTCCACCGCACTGCACCGCACCCCACCGCTCACCCCTGCCTGCGCGAACGCGCTTCCTTGCAGCAACGCCCTCTCCCCTGCACCCTCCGCGCATGCCCCCCTTTTCCCCACTCCACAGGTCAGGGTTCATTCACAGCGTGGTGGTGGGGTCGGCGGAGCAGCCCCTGGCGGGCAACACGGTGTACCACTACCGCATGGGGCGCAAGGGCAAGCGCCGCTCCTTCAAGACCCCGCCCACCGCCGCTGATGATGCCATGGACATCGCCATCGTTGGTGCGTGCACCCGCCTGCCTGCACTGCCAACTGCCCATTGAACCTGCTTCATTTTCTCACCAACTTTTTGATGCCTATTTTTCATCCATTCCCTCGGTTTCCCTGCATCACCTCGTGCCTCAATTCTATCATCCTCTGTTTCCTGCTCCCACACGGGTCTACCTCCTCCCCGTGACGCCATGACTGCGCCTGTGCACCACCGCCACCACCACCAGGCGACCTGGGGCAGAGTGGGTGGACGGTGAAGACGCTGAAGCACGTGGGCAGCCGGCCGCACGACATGGTGGTGGTGCCGGGCGACCTCTCCTACGCCGACTTCATCCCCTGGCGCTGGGACAGCTGGAGCACGCTCATTGACCCCTACGCCAGCACGCGCCCCTGGATGGTCGTGCCAGGCAACCACGACCAGGAGTCGCTCTCGCGCTTCGTGCCCGGCTTCATCTCGTACAACGCGCGCTGGCGCATGCCCGCTGCAGAGAGCGGGTCGCCGTCCAACCTGTTCTACTCGTTTGACACGGCGGGCATCCACTGGGTCATGCTCTCCTCCTACTCGGGCTTCCTCCCCGGCTCCCGCCAGTACACCTGGCTCAAGGTGCCTCTCAACCCCACCCATGCCTTCCCTTGCCATGCTGCAATAGCTATTGTTATTCTGATGCTGTTCTCCTTCTTGCATGGCTTTTTATCCACCTGGCTTTTATGGCCTGGTTCCTTGGCACCGGTCACCTGAACCAGCACCAACTCCTTCCCTGCCTCCCTCTCCCTCACCTATCATGGGTCCGTGGAGCAGCGGGACCTGAGTCTGGTGGACAGGGCGCGCACGCCATGGCTGGTGGCGGTGCTGCACGAGCCGTGGTACAGCTCCAACACACGCCACGAGGATGACGGACGTCCCATGCGCCAGGCACTCGAAGGGCTGCTCTTTGCTGCACGCACCGACATCCTTTTTGCCGGCCACGTGCACGCCTACGAGCGATCCGTATGCCCCCACTGCCCCCTTCGATTCGCCGCCCTTCGTGCACTCAGTTCTGCTGCCTCTTGATCGCTTTGTGTAATCCCTCTCCTCCGCTCCTGAAGGCTTGTGTAATCCTTCTCTCTTGTTCCTCTTCCATTTCTGCTGGTCCTTATTCGAAGTTCCGATGCTGTGTGCGCGCCAATTGTGCTCGCAGAAGCGCATATTCAATGGCAATCCACACCCCTGCGGCATAGTCCATGTGACTATAGGCGACGGTGGCAACAGAGAAGGCCTCTATTCCACGTATGTTCCAGCCCCCTATGTTGGCAGTTCCAATCAATGACTGCTTGTTTTTTCTTGCTCCTGTTGTCTTTCCCCCACTTTAATGTCACCATTTTTGGGTGTTACATTGTGTTGATCATATTGGAGAGCCCCAGTTTCTTTGTTTGTGCCCTTATGGCCTATTGTGCTTCACACATTAATACCTTTTCCTCCATTTTCTTTTTATCCCTTATTCATGCAGCTACCACAAGAAACCTGGGTGGTCTGCATTCAGGGAGGCCTCGTTCGGCCATGGCCGCTTTCAGGTGCTGGGAGGAGCCAACACAGGGGAGGCGGACTGGTCTTGGCAGCGCAATGCAGATGATGTAGGGGAGACAGCCGACACTGCGCATTTCATTAGTCATGCCAGCCCGCTTGCACCCTCTCAGTGCAGGCCACCTTCAGCACAAGTGTAATACTACGTGCATTCGTCAAAAACAAATTTCCTATGCAGTATGCTGTTGCATGCATCCATCACAGTGTATGAAGGGGTACAATGATATTGTTTATACCTATGAACTAATGAAGATTTGGAAGTTACTTATCAGCGCCTGTCTTGCGCTATGATGAGTATTGAAAGTGAGGTTACCGGGTATGAAGTGCGCTGATGGATTTATCTGGCGAGGCTAGGGGCGTTTCGACCAAGACGTCACATTGCCATGCGAACGCGATTCGATAATTGTTGTGTTGATCAAATGCGACGTTGTGTTGCATCAATGATTGGCTGGCGCGGTGCGAGGAAAACGCCCCTCCTCCTCGCTTCCCTCTCGCTTCGGAATCCAAGCCGCCTCTTCACTACCTCAGATGCAGCTCCTTGTATTCCTCAAGCCGCTAATGTCCGCCACCCATGACCTCACATGGCTACGTGAATCTCTCCCCCCCCTTCCCCCTTCACTCTCCGCTCCCCAACCATTTTCCCCTTCTCGTAGCGACCGAGATTATGCGCCCGTCTCATTACTCTCTTAAGAAACTGTGGAACGATCGGCACTGATTTTTTTTCTCCCTCGCAAAAGATATCTTCTTTTCTCTAGGCGCCAGCTGCTTAGTTGTGTCGTAAAGCGTTAGCGAGATAAGGATATAGGGCTTCGCATGGTGTGCACGTATAGAGATGGGTAACTCAAAGAAAGAGGTGCCGGGAGACGAGAGAGTGACGAGTAGATGGTCGACAGGACGAGCCGGTGATGGAGCAGAGGGCCATGGCAGGCCGCATGCGGGTGAGGAACTGGAGGAGAGCAGAGTGGGCGAGGAGAGGGAAAGGGAAGACGCGGCGGGGGGCGCGGAAAGGAATAGTCACGAGGAGGAGCATATTTGGGAATTGGAGAGGGGCGAAGATGGACAGTATGTTGACTGTGGGGATGAGGAGGTGGCGGCGGAGGTGGCGGAGGAGGGCAAGTATGATGACGAGGAGATTGACGATGACGAAGACGAGGATGAGGATGGGGATGACGATGACGATGACGATGACGATGATGACGACGATTTCGACTACGACGAGTGGGAGGAGGAGGAGGGTGAGCGGCGCGGCGTGCAAGGCAACGCGATCGACGGCGACTGGACGGTGTCGTCTCGTCTGCGCGAACCGCAGCAGCGCGCGGCGGCAGAGGGCACGGGGGAGAACCAAGAGCCCGCGCCCTTGGCGCCCTCTTCTCCGCCACCTGCCTCCTCCCGCCGCTTCGCCACCCTCACCGCGCACCCCCGCGCGCCAGGCGAGCCCCTCCGCCTCACGTTCCCCGCGCAGCTGCCCGACGCCTTCGCCCCGGCCCCAGCAGATCCGCTTTTGGGTGCGCCTCCCTTTCCCCCCATGCTTCACCGGCCACGCTCCGCCGCTGCCCGCGCTGCGGTCGCTAGAGTGTTGCGGCAGCGGCAGGAGGCAGCAGAAGGCAGTCTGCGCGGGGCTGGGAGGGGCGGTGATGCAGGGGGGGCGGGTCAGGACGGAATGGAGGGGCATGGCGCAGGTGCAGAGACACGGCGTGTATGGCGAGGATTGAACGCGGGCGCAGGGGCCGAACTGGCAGACGAGGAGGTGCGCGGAACGAAGAGAAAAGCGGAACCACTCGCGCAGGCGCAAGTGGGAACCGCTGGGGGGGGTACAGGTGGCGGTTTTGTGGGATGGCGAGGGAACGTGGGAGTTGTGGAACGGTTAAGAAGGGAAGGAGGGGACGGCGTTGCGTCGCGAATGGCAGAGGGCGAGACGCAAGGAAGCAGAGCGGAGGCCATGAGGGAGGAACAGGGCGGTGCTGGAAGCATGATGCAGCGGGGAGCGGAGCAGGGCGGCGCAGAGAGGGAAGGCGGAGGGCTGGAAAGCGGGAAGCAGGGGGGATTGGGCGGGACGACAGACGTGCGGGGAGTGGGAGGCGGCAGGGCGATGGAGGTGAGCCCTCCGCGCAGCATGCGAGAGCCATCCTCCCGTGCTGCCCGCAAGATGTGGCGCGAGCTGGTGCCGCACCGAGCAGGACGCACAGACACGGCACAGACTCACACGCTGGGAGGCAGCACGGGGCAAGGCGGGGGGTGTGACAAGCAGGCGGTGAAAGAAGAGCCGTGATGGCAGCACTTGGACACTGGGCAGCCATGGCACGTACGTGGTGTTGAGGGAGGTGTGGATGGCGGTGGGGCGGTGCGGAGGGAGTGTGCGTGGGTGCAAGGCATGACTGCTGTCATGCACTGGCAGCATAACATAGTACCCAAATTACTATGGTACTGGTAATTGGTATGAACTGACTACTGGTGCAGGGCGACCACACCCCACCAGCGGCTGCTGGGCTCCCATTTGCACTAGGATGCATGCAGTGATACCGTAATACCCCGCACATAATAAAGTGCAGGCCCCAGTTGTTTACTACCGTATTTATGGTGCCTTCACAATGTCAAGTACAATGCAGGTACTCATAATGTAAGGACAATCCCATTTCATGAGTTGTTTGTATAGTATCATGTTGCTTACTCCTAAGGAATACTTGCAGAGCTTCACCAGTTCATCAATGTCCCATCCCATCTAAATATAAATGACAAATCATTCTTCAGAAATTATTAATACCGAGTACGGTATCACTCAAGCATTTCTCCAATCAGACAGTTCATTGTACCTACATCGCTACCTTCCTTAAGCAAGCATCTTTCTACCAGCCACTCGCACAGCCGTGCTACGACAACAGCAAGCACCACCGTGAATCCCCGTTTTCCATCCGCCTCCCATGACCATGGCGTACCTTGTCAGCATTCCAACACCCCTCCACCTGTCATCTTGGATACAATATGGTACGTTATGATTCACTCAGCGACTCCTATCAAATCAATCTCAGTAGGCAGTGGGCCGTGCCCATCGCTGGAAGGGATTTTGTTGTGGGCATGCGTTTCGTATCGGAGAATATTGGGGCTTTGCTTCTGTGTGCTCCACCCATCGGCAAACTGTCTGGCAGTTGCTCCTCACACCAACTATCTGGAGTGTGAGGTATGGTGTACGTTTATGGTGTGTGAGTGAGTGTTTAAGGTGTGTGTATGGTGTGTGTGTGTGTGTCTGTGTGAGGTATGTGTGCGTGTGTGGTGAGCATGCGTGGTGTGTGTGTGGGCATCTGGTGTGTGTGGTGTGGGTGTGTGTAGTGTGAGAGTGGTTTGTGTGAGCTGTGTGTATGGTGTGTGGTGAGCATGCGTGGTGTGTGTGTGAGCTTCTGCTGTGTGTGGTGTGGGTCTATGTAGTCTGAGAGTGGTTTCTGTGAGCTGTGTGTATGTGTGTGCGGTGGTGCGAGTGTGTGGTGTGTGTGCGCGTGTGTTGTATCTGTGTGGGTGTGTGACGGATGGTGCAGAGAGGGGGGGAACAGATGGGAGGCGACACAAGTGGGGGGGACAGGGCTGAGAAGGAGAGGAGGCCAGGAGGGAGAGGAGGAGAGAAGAGCAATGTGATGCTGTTGAGCACTCCAGTTCTGGCCGCTGCGAGGCCATCACTCTGCTGCCGCGTCCGCTGGGCAGGGCGGGCACATCAGCCGCCTGGTGGGCAACGGGCGGTACGGCGGAAGGAGAGGGGGAGAACAGGGGGAAGAAGGGGGAAGGCCACGGACGGGAGGGAAAGGAGGTGCGCACGATGAGAAGGGGAGAGGCACCGGGTTAGTAGAGCAGCCACGAGCAATGATCCGCTGGGCACACAGCAAGCAGGTGCGCACAACAGCAAGCAAGCAGGTGCGCACAACAGCAAGCAAGCAGGTGCGCACAACAGCAAGCAGGTGCGCACAACAGCAAGCAGGTGCGCACAACAGCAAGCAGGTGAGCACAACAGGGAAGGGAAGGGGAGGGGAGGGGGGAAGGGAGGGTACGGGAAGGGGAGGGGAGGGGATGGGAGGGGAGGGGTGTGGCGCATGGGATGGGATGGGGCGCATGGGAAGACAAGGGGGCAGCAAGCGAGAGCAAGCGGCGGTCCAGTGTGACCCTCGTGTTGGTGCAACCCTACGGTTTGCACTCGGCTTGTTGTCCGTGTGCGTGCATGTGTGTGTGTATGGAATGGTATGAGGGCATGGGATAATATATATTTCATGCTTATAATTGTGTGTGAATGTTGAGTCATGATGTCGAGTGTGTGTGTCGAGTCAATAGCGAGTTATCGCTAGACGCGTGTTACGCGGTCGTTTGTGTCTCGCGCGCGGTTTCTATTTTGTCGTGCGCGGTTTCTATTTTGTCCTGTGTCGAACGTTCGGTGTGTCGCAGGTGTGTGCAGCAGACCCATCAAGAACTCAAGGATGAGTTTGTGATGAAGAGCCCGAGCCTTGGTGTCAAGGTTCAAGTGATTTCGAAGCTCGCCAAAAGGGTACACCTCAAGATATTGAAGATAGTTACATTACTTTGTGTAGTGTAACATTTCACTTGGTGTAGGCCCTAGTGAAGGGTAGTTTCGAGACCCTTCGTGGTTGGGGACAGTGTGGCACTGTTCCACATCACTGTACCTCGGCTCTTGGGGTTTGTAGGAGCTGGGAGTCATTCCCAACTCGTAACCCTTGCTAACTCTTCCTATCTTGTGTTCTAAGACTATAGTGGCTGCCATAGTGCCGTTCGTTCAAACCGACGCTGTGTCGTCAATACTTGGTCGAATCGTGCGATCTAAATTGCCTATTGTAGGCGACATTAAGACGCGCCAGATCCAAGTTGAATCAGGTCATTTGAAGCCGTGACCAGAACGCTATGAACGTTTGAAGCCGCTGTGCAGAAATCCGGCTGTGCACTCTATCTTTCGTTTTAGGCACATTGGAGCCTACTGTGACTATAACAAGTGGTATCAGAGCCCTTGGAGCAGTTTCGATAATTGCTGGACCTGAGGAAAGGGGTGGCAGAGGTGCTGGTGGCAGTGGAGAAGCCCAAGCTCAAGGCCAACCCCGTGACTCAGCCATGGCGCCCGTGCAACCAAGTGTTGGCCCATCTAGGGACGAGCCTAGAGTGTTTGGTCTTGACAAGTTCAACGGTGACAACTTTGCTGAGTGGTCCTTCAGAATGGAGAACGTGTTTGATCACTATGACCTGCTGGAGGTGATGGAAGGAACGGAGAAGCGCCCCGAGAACGACCCGGAGAAGAGCCCGTGGGTGCGGAAGAGCGCACAAGGCTACCTACTACTAGGGCAAGCGTTGGGGAGCAGCCAGATCCGTCACATCAAGCCTTTCCAGCGTGAACCAGAGAAGGGACCAAAGGCATGGGCTGCTCTCAAGGGTGTACACGCTCCTGCAACAGCGGCGGTAGCTGTGGTGTTGGAACGGCAAATGACGACACTACGAATTGAAGAGGATGAAGCGGTTGAAGAAGGGGTGCAGAAATTCTTCGACTTGTTGACGCGGCTTGAGGGAGCTGATTTGAACTATAGTGAGCTCCAAAAGAAGACCAAGTTGCTGGCCCTACTCCCTGAGTCATGGTCCTCGCTCATCATCAACCTTAATCGCGACTTGCCCCGCCTCTCGCTTGAAGACGTGAAGCGAGCTATCCTTCAAGAGGATTTCCGCCGCCGTGAGTTGGCGAGTGCGGATGGCGCTGGGGCAGCGAGCATCGGCCGTGGATATGGTCGAGGAAGAGGCAGAGGACGAGGGGGAGGAAGGTTTGGTGGCAGCAACTTCGGCGGAGGCCGCGGGAGTGGCGGTTACGGCAGCGACGACAAGAGCTACGGACGCGGTCGCGGCCGATTCGACGGCGAGTGTCACTATTGCCACAAGAGCGGACACATGTGGCGCGACTGCTACAAACTCCCTGATGGTTGGACCCCTGCTCAAGGCCAAGAGGGTAGAGGAGCAGGAGGAGGGAGAGGACGAGGCCGTGGAGGCTGTGGCGGTCGCGGTGGCGGAGCTGCAAACATGAAGAGCGGAGACAACAACAAGGACCCGAGCGACGATCGATACCCGGGTCTATTCTACTTCGTGTCGACGCAAGTACCGGCTGGTCCAGAGAAGGATGAAGGCCTTGAGGAGCCAGCAGCTGTGGGGAAGGTGACCCTACACCCCCTGGACTATTGGGTGATTGATAGTGGCGCTACCTATAGCATGACACCTCGCCCGGACTTGCTCACCGAACTCGAGCCGTCACCGGTGAAGCATGTCACATCGGCTTTGGGGCAGCGAGCAGAGGTGAAAGGCATGGGGAAGGCCATGTTCAAGGGTGCTGATGGGAAGATGGTGGGCCTCAAGAACGTGCTTTGGGTGCCCAGCCTTGCTGCAAACCTGATTTCCGTGCGGCGGTTGGCAAAGGCCGGCATGGACACGAACTCGAAGGGAGCCAAGACCTACACCGCAAGGCTTGGCGATCGAATTCTTTGGGACCTTCATGAGGACAGGGATGTCTACAACGAGATGTGGCAGATCCCAGTGGTCCCTATGCCTAAGGAGAGGCAAGTGGCAGCAAGCATCAGCACCAAGGATGGAGCGGTCGGTAGCGACGATGGCGCGAACGGTCGCGCTAAGGAGAATGAGCTCAAGAAGAGCAAACCTGAAGGGACCAGCAAGTTCAGTGAACCTAAGGAGAGTGGTGCAGCAACCAAGGAGCAGCAAAAGGGTGAGGATAACCCCGAGGCAGCAGCGGAGGAGGACTACGGAGAGAGTATGTGGGGCGCTATTGCGAGCGCGGCATTCTCCAATCCAACTTCGGGTACGGGGGAGTGTGATTGGCTCACCTTGCATCGGCGCATGGGGCATGTGGCCCTGCCCATCTTGCAGCAGCTAGTGAAGAATGAGATGGTTGCTGGCATACGTGTGAAGGGGGAGCCCGATGAGGTGCTTGGCTGCCCGACGTGCATTCAAGCCAAGTTCACCCGGTTTCCGTTCCCTAGTTCGGAGGCAACGGCAAAGGCACCACTTGATGAGGTGGTGATGGACGTGGTGGGCCCCCTGAAGCTTGGAGCTGCTGGAGCTGAGTATTTTCTCACCATTGTCGACGTCTACACCCGCATGACTTGGGTGTATGTGCTGGCCAAGAAGAGCGACGTGGCTGAAACGTTGAAGACGGATTGGTTCCCGATGGTGGAGCGGCAACAAGACCGTCTAGTCAAGTCAATCCGCACCGATCGAGGGGGAGAGTTCCTGAGCAAGGAGTTTGGGTTGTGGCTGAAGAAGAATGGTATTCGGCACTCCCTCACCATGCCATACTCCCCTGCAATGAACGGCATCGCCGAGCGAGCGAACCGCACAATCACGGAGGCGGCACGCGGGTTGCTCATTGAAGCCGGGCTACCCGACTATTTCTGGCCTGATGCGGTGCGAAGCGCGTGTGTGGCCAAGAACAGAGTTTTGACTCATGTGGGAGCAGACAAATGGGTGCCCTATGTGGAGTGGCTAGGAAGGAAGCCAAAGGTGGATATGCTTCGGGTGTTCGGGTGCATGTGCATGGCGCTCGTGCCTAAGCATCTTCGGCACAACAAGCTTGGTGCCAAGGCGGTGTGGGCCGTGCACTTGGGCATGGCTCAAAACAGCAAGGGATGGCTTCTTTGGGACCCATTCACCAAGAAGTTCTTGGTGAGCAGGGACTGCAAGTTCATGGAGAACTTCATGTACAAGGATTGGAAGGCGGAGAATGAGGCGAAGATAGGCGTGCGGTTTGGGGAGGTGAAGAGTTCCGGTTTGGAGCATGTGGAGCTGCCTTTGGAGCTGAGCAGCGGCAGCACAACCACAAGGCAATCCTCCCTTGTGAATGGGGGAGAGGAGGACAATGATGCAGAGGAAGAAGAGGAGGAGGTGCAGCAAGTGAGCGAGCGTGCACCGTCACTCCCTTCCTGTACTACGAGTGCTCCACGGATTCGAGCCACACCGCAGCAACGCCAAGGCCTTCAAGTCCCTGCAGCTGAGGAGGAAGGAAGGGGGAAGAGGAGAGTTCAACCCCCTAATAGGCTGACCTATGATGCGCCGGGAAAGCAGGGCAAGACAGCCCTGGCCGGAGCGGCAATGATGGTCGGAGACGACGAGGAGAGTGACTACGAGGAGTGTGCCTTCGCGTTCTTCTCTCCGGTGGAGATGCCGGGAGAATCAGCAACTCTCAAGGAGGCTTTGGAGAGTAGTGATGCTGAGGAGTGGAAGAAGGCCATGGAGAGTGAGCTGAAGAGCATCGAGGAGAATGACACGTTTGAATTGGTGGAGCTACCGGAGGGGCGTACGGCGATAACGTCCAAGTGGCTCTTCAAAATCAAGTCGGATGCCGACGGCAAGATCGAGCGCTACAAGTCTAGGCTTGTAGCCAAGGGGTACCAGCAGAAGGAGAAGGTGGACTTCAAGGAGCTGTTTGCCCCTGTGGTGAAGCCGACGACGCTGCGAACCCTATTCGCGGGAGCCGCCATCAAAGGATGGGTAGTAAAGCAAATGGACATCGTAACGGCATTCCTTAACGGCATCCTTGAGGAGGAGATTTTTATGGCGCAGCCAGAGGGGTTTGATGATGGTAGTGGCAGAGTGTGGAAGCTGAAGAAGGCCCTCTATGGGCTGAAGCAGGCCCCTAGGCAATGGTACATGAAGCTGCGCGAAGTGTTGGAGGGGATCGGCTTCACTCCCTCAACAGCCGATCACTCCTTGTTCATGCTTGGCGAGGGGGAGCAGAGGAGTTTCATGGTGGTTTATGTGGATGACATCCTCATTTTCTCACCCTCTTCTGACCTTGTGAAGGAGGTGATGCTGAAGCTTCAAGACAAGTTCAAGTGCAAGGCCCTTGGTGACGTGAGCTTCTACCTTGGGCTCCACATCGAACGAGATGTGGAGAAGCGGTGCATGCGGGTGCATCAACGAAAGTACCTGGAGGCATTGGCTGCCAACTTTGGGCAGAGTGAAGGCCATGTGGCTACACCCTTTCCCTCTGGGTTCAAGTGTGTGAAGGGACCAGAGGAGGAGAGCGTTGGTGAAGAGGAGAGGCGCCGATTTCACTCGTTGGTGGGCAGCCTCATGTATGCGGCGGTAAACACCCGACCGGACGTCGCGTTTGCTACCGGGCAGCTGGCTAGGATTGTGCAATGCCCTAATGAGGAGCAGGTAGCAGCTGGAATTAGGGTGGCCAAGTATCTTGGCCAAACACCGACCGTTGGGCTGCAATACTCGCCGGCGGCACAAAGGCGCCAAAAGGGCGCGGATGGTGTTGAACCCGGGCGTTTGTTCCTCACCGCCTACTCGGATGCTTCATATGCATCAGAACCAGAGGACATGACAAGTGTGGGAGGCTTCATATGCTGTGTTGGTGGAGGCCCAACTGCTTGGGAGAGCAAGAAGCAGGTTGACCAAGCTTTGAGCTCGGTGGAGTCCGAGTACATGGCACTCTTCCGTGCCGTACGGGAGATTGTGTGGCAGCGGCGTTTGTTGGCTGAATTGGGGGAGGAGCAGCAAGGACCTACCCCACCGTATTGTGACAGCCAGGGTGCCATTGCTCTTGCTAAGAACCCTGTGTTGCATGGACTCACGAAGCACATGAGGGTGAAGTGGCATTGGACGAGGAGCATGGTAACCGCGGGTGAAGTTGAGTTGCGCTACGTGAAGACCACGGGGCAGCCGGCTGACATGATGACCAAGAGGCTGGTGGAGCAGCAGCATTGGAAGTGTTGCAAGCTGGCTGGGATGGCTCTGAACTGAGAGAGCAACATATCCTAAGGCCAACAATCCGAGGGGGAGTTTGTTGGTGCAACCCTACGGTTTGCACTCGGCTTGTTGTCCGTGTGCGTGCATGTGTGTGTGTATGGAATGGTATGAGGGCATGGGATAATATATATTTCATGCTTATAATTGTGTGTGAATGTTGAGTCATGATGTCGAGTGTGTGTGTCGAGTCAATAGCGAGTTATCGCTAGACGCGTGTTACGCGGTCGTTTGTGTCTCGCGCGCGGTTTCTATTTTGTCGTGCGCGGTTTCTATTTTGTCCTGTGTCGAACGTTCGGTGTGTCGCAGGTGTGTGCAGCAGACCCATCAAGAACTCAAGGATGAGTTTGTGATGAAGAGCCCGAGCCTTGGTGTCAAGCCTCAAGTGATTTCGAAGCTCGCCAAAAGGGTACACCTCAAGATATTGAAGATAGTTACATTACTTTGTGTAGTGTAACATTTCACTTGGTGTAGGCCCTAGTGAAGGGTAGTTTCGAGACCCTTCGTGGTTGGGGACAGTGTGGCACTGTTCCACATCACTGTACCTCGGCTCTTGGGGTTTGTAGGAGCTGGGAGTCATTCCCAACTCGTAACCCTTGCTAACTCTTCCTATCTTGTGTTCTAAGACTATAGTGGCTGCCATAGTGCCGTTCGTTCAAACCGACGCTGTGTCGTCAATACTTGGTCGAATCGTGCGATCTAAATTGCCTATTGTAGGCGACATTAAGACGCGCCAGATCCAAGTTGAATCAGGTCATTTGAAGCCGTGACCAGAACGCTATGAACGTTTGAAGCCGCTGTGCAGAAATCCGGCTGTGCACTCTATCTTTCGTTTTAGGCACATTGGAGCCTACTGTGACTATAACACCTCGCCCACTGCTGCTCCACCCCGCAACCTCCCTCCGCCCCCCCCCTTCCGCCCTCCCCCTTCCGCCCTCCGCCACCCGCCCTCCGCCTCCCATCCCCCACTGTCTGCAGCTCCCCAATCCCCAACGTGCCCTCTCAGCACGCCTGAAGTAACCCCCCCCGCCCCCCTTTCCCCCTGCTCTCTGGCGCCCTTTGTCATGCGCGGCACGCACCGTTGGGAGTTTGTGAGGCGCAAGAGGCAGCATTTGGAGCTTGGGCGCGCCAAGGCCGTCCCACACGTCCGTTGTCCACCCCACGTACCCGCACGCACCCACGTGACCCCGCCTCCTTGCTCGCCTGCAGCAAGGGAGGGCGCGGCAAGGGAGGGGATGGCAAGGGAGAGGAGGGCAAGGGAGGCGGCGGCAAGGGGGGAGGCGGCAAGGGAGGAGGCGGCAAGGGAGGAGGCGGCAAGGGAGGATGCGGCAAGGAGGTGCTCCCCCGTGCGCTTGCTGCGTGCGCTTGCTCCTGTTGCTCCCGCTCGTTCCGCTGCTGCCTGTGCACATGCTATGCGGACTACAGGGGAAGGGGGCGATGAATGCGACGGAGAGACGCAGAGAAACGGAGTACGACAGGGCAGACGGGAAAAACAGGAAAGGGAGAAATTCACAGAAGCGAGAATGAACAGGAAGCGTAGGATAAATCGAACGGGAGGGGTAGGATAAATCGAACGAGAAGCGTAGGATAAATCGAACGAGAAGCGTAGGATAAATCGAACGAGAAGCGTAGGATAAATCGAACGGAAAGCGTAAGATAAATCGAACGGAAAGCGTAGGATAAATCGAACGGAAAGCGTAGGATAAATCGAACGGAAAGCTTGGGATCAATCAAAATGCACGGAAACGAACAAGAGCAGGCGTCAGAGCGTGCGTGTGGTAATAATGGAGGGCGATGAAGCAGCGAGATAAAAGTTAGTTTTATACGAGGCAGGCAGTAGCATGGATGCGATCTGAGATTACACTCTTCTCATTTTGGATGCTCCAGCCGAAGTCCAACTCCAAACATTCAAGACCAACTCGATCTGACGGCCAGCATTCGCCCAATGTTCGGAATCTCCCATATCTCCCATTCCCAACCAACATCCCATGTCAGATGAGAATTCGAGCTCCCTCCCAACATTACCACCAATTTCCCCGTCATTCAAGAGCTCCCTTCCATCATCCGAAGAGCTACCTTTCAGTTCGCCTTTCTGAGTTCTCAAGGTTCACACCTCTCCCCTCGCGCTTTCCCCTTCCTCCACCCCTCCGCGTCATTTCTTGAGGCACACGCCACTCAACCACGCCAAGCCTCCTTCGCGATAGCCTGTGGATCTCTTCCGCCCTGCCAATCCGTCAGCCTCTTCGGTTAGTACTTACTTCCCCCAAGTTTCGTATGCCAGGACAGATCGCTTAGCAGAAAAGCTTGTAGTTCCCGTCGGTCTTATCTCGTCTTCACGACAATTTTCAAGAGTCGTCACCCTTGCGTGATAGTCGCCGTAGATCCGTCACCATGTCTGACGAGTCAGCAAAGCTGGTCCTCCGAAATGACGATTTGCTTGCCAAAATCCTGCACTTGGCTGCTCAGCCCGACCAGTTCGTGCAAGCACTGGTGTGCACGAAATGGCGTGACATGGCCTATCGCGTGCAGGACGTCATTCACCACTCCGATCTCCCTTGCATGAGTCATCGCCTGCTGCTTGAACAGCTCGCGGCGTTCCCTACGCTGAAGAAGCTGCTGGTTGGGGAAGGGCGTTTGTGCTTCGTCCCGGACGAATTCCTTGCTGGCCTGGCCCGCGCGCATCCCCATCTGGTTGAGCTTCGCATTGACAATCCTGATGGGTCTGTCGGACCCGGCAAAGATTTCACTGAGAACGGACTCTCGGACCTTTTTAAGGGTTGCACCAGCCTAGAGGATCTGCACCTAGATTGTCCGTCGTGTATGCGCATTCCACCTTCCCTCAGCAAACTATCTCGACTCAGGAGCCTCTTCCTCTCAGCCGATGAGATTCGGAATCTTCCCGACGCCATCACCTCTTTGCAGTTACTTGAGGACTTCGAGCTCCATGCTGAAAATTTACAAGATTTGCCACGAGACTTTGGCAACCTCGTCTCGCTGAAGACTTTGGGGCTTTTCGTTCACTCTCTTCGCTCTCTACCGACGTCCATTCAGCGGCTTGTCAATCTACAGCAACTGTCCATCAGCGAGTGCATGACATTTCGGTTACCAGATGGTCTTTCCCAGCTTAATCGACTGAATAAGCTTCAGCTTGAGGATATTGAAGACCTCTTGCCGCTGCCTGAGGATTTTGGAAAGCTGTCGGCATTGGAGTGCCTAGTGGTGAGGCGTGTGAAGGGGATTACGGAGCTTCCAGAGACAGTTGGACTTCTCCCACAGCTGCAACTGCTTACCATTAAGAGCGAGGGCAGTTCCTCATGGCTGCCCGCGTCCCTGCCTGATGTTTCATCTCTCACGGAGCTCGACTTGTGCCAGACAAGTGTTTTGGATCTGCCAGATGGCATTGGTCGCCTGTCAAAGCTCAAGAGTATCAAGCTGAAAAGTTTTGAAGGCAATCATCCTAAAGGTCTTTCCTCCCTGCCCGAGGACTTCGGGCAACTGACTGGATTGGAAATTCTACATTTGACGAATCTAACACATCTCAGCCACCTGCCTGAATCCTTTACACTGCTGTCTTCTCTTCAGACGTTGGAAATCAGTGACTGCTCTAGGTTAAGTGCTCTACCAGAGGGGATGGGGGATGGCCTTCACCACCTTCAGAAGCTGATTTTGAGTCGCATACCTATCACCCACCTCCCTTCCTCCTTCTTCCGTCTCTCATCTCTCGAAGCGATAGAGTTGAATGGTGTCCAGTGCTTGAGAGGCTGCCTTTTAGAGGGCTTTGGCAACTTTTCACACCTTAGGACTCTCTCGTTAAACGACATCCCAAATCTCACTTCCCTCCCTTCCTCACTCTCTCGATTAGCTCTCTCCCTCACCAGCCTGACGGTGGACTCCTGCCGTAAGCTGAAAGCGTTGCCAGAGGAGATCGGGCAGCTGGAAATGCTGGAGAAGCTCCAGCTTTCAAGATTACACAGCTTGGAATCAATTCCTCGGTCGCTGTTGAAGCTGCCTCGACTGCGGGAGCTGGAAATCAATTGCAAGTCCCTTGGCGGAAGCAGCGCTGTGGATACCTTGGTTGGGGGGAGGAGCAACTGCAGCAGCAGCAATGTGGAGAGTGTTGAAGAGGAAGTGCTTCCATCGCTGCAGAGCCTGACGATTGAGGGTGTTGCTTCTCAAGTGCTTGATTCTTCCCTGGTGTGCATTTCTTCGTTGGAAACGCTGAAGCTGTATATGCCTGCACTGCGTGCACTTCCGGCCTCCATCTCTCAGATGTCAAACTTGAGAGATTTGTCCATCTGTGGTGCGAAGAAGCTCAAAGCACTGCCGGAAGCAGTGCGTGCACTTTCCAGGCTTACAAGTCTCTCGCTGGGTTCACTACCCAGATTGTGTCAGCTACCCAAGTCGTTTGGGCAGTTGAAGAAGCTCGAGGAGTTCGAGATCCATGATTGTCCAAAGATATCCGAACTTCCTGAATCTTTTCCCAATATGCCCGGTCTACGGTATTGCACACTTGACAACTGCTTGGATGCATCTTCTTTACCGCATAACTTTGGGAAACTATTTTCGCTCCGATTTCTAAGTTTAGCTAATCTCCCGAATCTCTGCAGCCTCCCCGATTCTCTACAGGACTTGACACGACTGAGGGAGCTGGTATTGGAGAGTTGTAAGCAGCTGGCTCGGCTGCCACCCTTCATAAAAAATATGGCGATGCTGCAGGAGTGCTACATATCAGATTGCCCCCTGATTCCCCAAGACGGCACGACGATTTATGGGAGGGGGTATGGTGTGGAAAGGGTGGATGAAGAGGATGTGGAATGAGGGGGTATGGAGTCACCATGGGACAGGAGAGGTGTGGAGAGTAGGAGCCTAGGATGGAGGGGGGAGGGAGATAGGTTAGGGCCCGTGGAAGGGGTAGAAGAGAGAGGGAGATATGTCAAGAAAGGGGTAGGAAATGTTTAGGAAGGTGTTTTATATGTCTCTTTTTTTGCGTGTGGTTATGTCAAAACTCTTTTTACAAAAGGAATGGCGATGGGAGGGATGTATCGCGGGAGGGAGAGTGAGTTTTGCGTACAAAACCAGGTTGAAGACACCATGACGAATGGTAGTAGGAGCTTGGACTGCTCTGTTAAAGAGTTGAAACACTCATGTTTGACAGAGGTGCTGCAACTTAAGTTGGAAAATTGGGAATACCACAGGATGCAAAAACTATTCTACGAGTTGACTTTTAAATATGGGTGTGCAGGGCTGCAGGGGGCATGGCAGAGGCACTGGTGCCTGGTGGCTGTGGGGCAACTGGTGAATGCCCTGCTGGCGCACTGTTGAGGCGCTGCGCCTCACAGGGTGCCCGGTGCATTTATATTGTCAACGTTACTGTAAACACAATGCCACACGTGAGCGCCGTACTCATTTTTTTCTTCCCTCCCCCTCCCTCCTCCATTCTCTACTTTTCTCAGTACCAAATAAAGTCCCTTGCTCCCTCCCATTTTCCCTCATTTGCCTCTCTTCCATAAACTCCCCACCGTCCCTCTTCACCTCCTCCTTCCTACACTATCCTTCACTCGCTCCCACCAGCTTCCATGGATATCTCCTTTGCTGGCTTTTGTACAAACCATTACCTCCTTTCCCCACCTCTCTCGTTCCCCAAACCCCCACTCCCTCCCTTCCATTTCCTACAAAGCACCTGAACCACTTGCCGTGCACGTTGGAATCCGTTTCTCTCCCATGGCAGTTCCTGTCGGAATTATACGGTGAGCTCTTTGCAGCTCTGTACAATGCCGCACCGTGGTCCAGTCAGTCCCCCTCCTTCGTGTATCGTGGGTACTTCGTGGAAGTGGTACCGTAGTGTTGTGTGGTTTTCCTTTGTCCATTCTCTGTCTTGATCGGCTCGTATGAGTGGGCTTCTTTGCAGCACCATAACTTGATGGAAACTATGCGTGTTGACAAGAACGGGCAGAACGGCGTGTCATCGTGTTGTCATAAGCTTGTGCTAACCATGCGGTTGACTGTTCTTGCCTGTTTAATTGTGCCCCCTTGTTTCATGCTGCAAAAATACACTACGGGGCATCTCTTGCTATCTGCGGGGGTCTCTCATCCCCTTCTCACTTGCCTCTCATGCCCATCTCCCCCCCCCACCATCCTTGAAGGCCGTGGCAGGCTTGCCGAGCAGCAGCAGGCTGGTGGCCAGGATGGTGGGACCCGCCCCTCCCGTGCCCCGCCATGAAATACGAGAAGCTGGTGTGAGAGGGGGGGATGTAGGGGTGTCTGTGTGTGGGGGGGGGGGGGGAGTGCTGGGGCGGATGAGAAGAAACGGGCAGTGCATGGAGGAGGAGAGTGGCTGGAGGGAATGCGGCAGTGCAGGAGGGGAGACAGGTGTAGAGAAACGACCAATACATGGTCAAGTTGGCACTTGGTGGGTGCAGGCGAGTCAGTGAGTGAGTGCGTGAGTGAATGGGCGAGTGAGTGAGTGAGAGGGTGAGTGAGAGAGTGGTGGCACCGCAGGCTCTTTGGTCGAAGGCCGAGAGCGGCCTGCTGCTGCCCTTGTTGCTCCTCCAAGCGTGCAAATCCTCCCCCGCCAGCCGCACCAGCTCCGCTGCCATCAGTGCAGGGAGGAGAGCACAGGAGAGGAGAGCACACCATGGCGCGCTGCTCGTGCTGTCATGCCCCACACGTTCTGGGTGGGACGGATCAGGCAAAAAGCATGGCAGCATGGCGGCATGGTAGCATGGCAGGGAGGGGATTGGGCAGAGGCGATGGCGCTCTGAGAGCACAGAGCACAGAGCGAGGAAGCGGCGCTGCAGGGGATGTGGGGGGCGCTGCAGGGCGTGAGAGACGAGAGAGGAGGAAGACGCCTGAGAGGCAGGGCGCCCAATTTGGCACGGATGGCTGCTTCCAGAACGGTGCAGTGCGGTTCTCGCTGGAAGGGCCCTGCACAGTGCACCACCAGGTCGGCTCCTGCGAGCAGGCGGAGCAAGTGGGTTGGGGGGAGGGAGGTGATGGCGAGAAGAGGAGGTGATGCAGGTCAGATGGGGAGTTGATTGTTGAGGAATGGGAAGACGCATGGGGAGCAAGGGAAGGATGGGAGAGGGCGAGGCAGCAGCAGCTGCAGTGGCAAAGAATGGCACGGGGAGGCACGGCGTTGTCCATGGGAAATGTGAAACCCATGGGTGGGAGAGTGGGGGCTGAAACCCCATGGGTGGGAGAGTGGGGGCTGAAGCCCCTTTCGTGGGTGTGTGGGGGGATGAAAATCCATGGGTGGGAGAGTGGGGGCTGAAATCCCCTCAGGTGTACTGTGTGGCATGTTACTGTGTGGCATGTTACTGTGTGGCATGTTACTGTGTGGCATGATACAGTGGGGTCTGATACAATACAGTATGATACATTGTTGTATGATACAGGTGGTGTGATACAGTGTCTTATCATACGGTTTGGTGTGATGCAGTGTGGCATGATGCAGTGCGGTTGGATGCACAGAGGTATGATTCAGTGTGGCTTGTTTCAGTGTGGCTTGTTTCAGTGTGGCTTGTTTCAGTGTGGCTTTTTACTGCGTGACATACTGGGGTGTGCCATTGTATGGCATTGTGTGGCATGTCATTTGGTGACATAGCATGGTTCGATATCATGCCAGATACAGGCGGGCAGCATGTGGAGGGCAGTGGAACACGATGGAAGGCAAGGAAGACAGGGTGGGAGGGAAGAGGGGGGAAGTGAAGTCCGGAGTGGAGGTGTGCCTTGCGGCAAGCATGCCTGCCTCACCTGCATGGCTGACTCACCTGCCATGCCCTTCCAATGCAGTGCATGCGGAGGGAAGAGGAGGGAAGAGGAGGGAAGAGGGGTCTGGTTGGGGAGTGGAGGCGTGCCATGTGGCAAGCATGCTTGAGTGCAGAACGAGAATAGAAGCCGTTGTGCACTATAGTGATATATACCTATGTGTAAAAAACTGTGTGGATGCCCATTATGTAAATGGTTTGCTGGACGAGAACGAAGCTGGGCTTCACCACTCGAAGCATGAGGTGCTGGTAAGGTTTCACTTAAATCGCCTGTCACGCATATAGCTTGAAATACGAGAATGGCCTGCATTTCATTTAGTATAATTTCTACAATTTCACTCACTCGGTCTAGTACAGAATTTCCAGCCCATACTGTTTGTGAAGGCAATTTAATACTCCATGTACATCGTCTGTGTACTCGAAAATGCGGATCAAGGTGTTCCCATCCTCGTTTTGCAACTCAGTCTCATCTCTGCCAACGAATTCAGAATATCCAATACCTATTCCTGACAAAGGTCAGAATACAGTATCATGGTTCGCGCGTAACGAGACTCTCCGCTAGGCCGAGGGCGGAACTGAAAAAACTTCAGGCTAGATCTTTCCACTGAACTAGAACATTGGGGAGTTCTATCTAAGCATCAAATAGTTCAGTTTGAAAACGTCACCGCTTCTCCTCCCAACCAAATCTGATAATCTCCCTCTTGGTAAATCTGACTCCTAACTAAGTTGTTACCACCTTTTGAGTGGGACGACGACGCACAGAAAACATTTCAGCTCATCGCATTGTTATTCGCGAAATGCACGAGGAGTTACAGCTCACTTCGTTGTCGGTGACGAACCGAGAGCCAATTAGCGTGACGAGGCTCTGGTAGCCGTTGCAGGTGTCAGAGGGTGTGAGAGGGAGACTCCGATTCCAATCTGCTCCCATCCGATCTTCCTCCCGCTTTTCCTCCCTTTCCATGGCTGCCGCCGCCCTTGTTGCCTGAGACCCAATTAATCGCGCGTTTTTGCCCTTCGTCCCGCCGAGCCGACAGCGCTGCGTGTTCATGTTATAACTCTCCAACCCACCGACACGAATACCACCAATCCCGAAGCTTTTGACCTCCGATTTCACGGTTGGAGTTCGACTATCCCTGACACGACAATCCTGGACCAATCCATCGAATTTCCGTTTAACCGTTGCGTGTTTTCGCGGTTCAACTTCGTTTTGATGAACGGTTGGGATTTTTTGCACTCTCTCGAGGCGGTAGAATGTCGGTCGGTAGCCTTGGGGTTGGGTTGTGGCGAGGACCTACGCTTTCGAGCAGCAGCCTCGTTTTGCCACATTCTAGTCCGCCTGCTTCGCATTTTGCTGCCGTTTTCTCACTCTGGCTTCTCGGCTCACGGCGTTCCTTGCCAAAACGACGTCGTACTCTTCTCGGTCCAGAGCGTTCTGTGTGTAGTTTATGGTGCGGAATCGGACCAGATTTTGCTCGTACAAGCCAGTCTTCGCTATTCCACGTTATCCTTCACCGCTCAGCGTCAAATTTTCGGATTTCACGTGGAAATGTCGACTTTCGACGTCAGTTTCTCGGGATTCACGTGAAATTTCGGTTTCGACGTCGATTTTCGCTGGTCGTCGCCAACCTCGGCTGTTTCGCGTCGAACTTCGCAAATCCGGTAAAAATAGCTCTAGATCGGATAGTTCAGTCGTTGATTCGTCAGCTTCGCAATGCTCGGAAAAGCAGCTAATCGTCTTGTCTCTCGCGACTTGCAGGCGAGCACGGAACCATGTCAAGTCGTCCGACATTCCATTCCAATCCGCCTTTTCTCGCTCGTCGACGTCAACCTTGGCGACTTCGCCATCCGTTACACTCGTCGCCAAGTAAGGAAGCTTTGGAGCTCGCTTTCTCTTCCGTGAAATCTTTGTGTTTTCTACCCGCGATTTCCGTTTTCCCAGCAATTCTAACTCCGTGTGTCGCGTGACTTGGCAGGCGCACCATCCTGAGCGGCAATGAGTGGAGATGGAGCAGGCCAAGGCGGGGACCATTGTCAACCGAGAGCAAGCGGGCGTCATCAGGCTCTGCCACGCGCTGTTGGATGTCCGCCCTCCACTCCACCCATCACCACGCAAGGTACTCCCCTCGCTTCCCTCCTCCTCTCGCTTGAACCGCGTTTTCCGCTCTCGTTTTCCACTGCTCCAGTGGTGCTCTGCTCTCCATGTCTTCTGCTTTCCTCGCCCTGCTGCTTTCCTCGCCCTGCTGCTTTCCTCGCCATGCTGCTTTCCTCGCCCTCCTGCCCTCCTTCCTTCCATGTGCTGCTTGTCCCCTCTCAACCTAGCTGCCTCTCTGCGTCAATCTCCCTGCCTGCGCCGCCTCAATCTCCCACCAGATGCACTGCTATGAGGGCGGATGGGCAAGCGGAGAGGCCAGGGAGGCAAGCAGCTGAGTGTCGTCCCCTCGCCTCTACACGGAGCAGCAGCAGCCGTGCCTCCTCTCCACTCGCCACTCACCTCGCCACAGCTAAGTGCCCCACATTGCTCCTCTGCTCCTCGCTGCTCTCTGCCTTCCATTTCATGCTTGCTCGCTCTTCCATGCTCGCTCCCTTCTTGCCGTGCGCCATCCCAGAGACCTCCCTCCCCCAAGGTAGCAGGTATCTTTTCTTTTGGTACAGCCTCAGGTATTAGTTTTAGTTTGGTTCAGCTGGTACGAGGTCTCTTGGGTGTGCCACTGCAGCAGTCCACTCATGCACGCATCATTCTTGCAATATCAGCACTCGATGCTCTCTCGTCACTCCACCTGTCTTCACTTCTTTCCTCTTTGCCTTCCCCACTCCTCTGCTCCCCTTTCACTCCCCATTCTCTCCTCCCCCTCCTCCCTTCCTTCGTCTGTCCCGATCTGCCTCCTCTCGTCCCAGCAGGTCGCTCACACGTGAGGTGGCAGTGGCGGGGGACATGGAGTGCACAGGCAGCAGCAGCTCTCCACCCAACCAACCAACAGCTAAGCTAAGTACCCGGCCTGCCTCTCTTCTCCCAACCCTCGCTCCTGTGCTGCTTTTCATGCCTTGCTTGCACCGTGCATCGCAGCTTTTCTTTACTGCCCTCTGTCACACCCATGAGACCTCCCTCCCCCAAGGTAGCAGGTATTTGTTCTTTTGGTACAGCCTCAGGTATTGACTTTGGTTCAGCTGGTACGAGGTCTCTTGGGTGTGCCACTGCAGCAGTCCATTCATGCTCGCATCATTCTTGCAATCTCTGCACTCGACGCTCTCTCGTCACTCCACCCGTCTTCACTTCTTTCCTCTTTGCCTTCCACACTCCTCCGCTACCCTTTCACTCCCAATTCTCTCCTCCCACTCCTCCCTTCCTCGCTCTCCCGATCTGCCTCCTTTCATCCTAGCATCTTGCTCACACGGGAGTGGCAGTGGCGGGGAACATGGAGTGCACAGGCAGCAGCTGCTCTCCACCCAACCCACCCACAGCTAAGCTAAGTACCCTTCTCCGCCTATCTTCTCTTAACCCTCGCACTTGTGCTGCTTTCCATGTCTTGCACGCACCATTCGTTACTGCCCTCTGTCACACTCAAGAGACCTCCCCCCCCCAAGGTAGCAGGTTTAAAACTATTGGTACAGCCTCAGGTATTTTCTTGTGTGTAGTTCAGCCGGTAAGAGGTCTCCTGGGTGTGCCATTGCAGCAGTCAATTCATGCACGCATCACTCTTGCACTCGTTCGCTCTCACTTCACGCACCTGTCTTCGCCTCTTTACTCATCACCCTCCTTTTCTCCCTTATCACACCTCCGTCCTCTCTCCATCCTCCTCCCTTCCTCTTTCTGTCCCGATTTGCCTGCTCTCATTCCAGCAGCTCACTCACCCGCCAGTAGCAGTGGCGGGGGAACATGGAGTGCACAGGCAGCAGCTGCTCTCCACCCAACCCACCCACACGCAGCTAAGTACCCGTCCTTTCGTTCTGTGTATCCTTCATTTTCAAGTTTCTCCGTGCCACATCCCCTGTTTTTCCTCCCTTCAAACCTGAGCCTCTGGTCATGCCACAGCTTCAAGCCACACACCTCTTTTTTTTAGGTAAACCGCCCCAGGTACAGAAGGTATTCTCTCAGGTCAAGCCTCCCTAGGTATATACACCCCTTGGGTTTGTGGCTTGTGGCTGAGGCTGCATCAGTGGCCTCCTTTTCTCATTTCACCTGCCATCCCACCCCTACCCATGCACTCCTCTCACATTTCTACCCCTAGCCGCTTACTCACTTCTCTTCAGTTCTCTCCTTGCCGGTTGAAGGGAGGGGTGTGGGGGTCAACACCGCCACTCCCTCACGCTCCTCCCCTGTGGCTGTGCAGGTGCAACGGTGGGAGGGGAGGGGGGCAGTACTCCACTCGGCTGGGGCGGGAAGGGAGAGTATCGGGCTTGGGTCGTCTGAAACAAGGTGAGCCTCTTTTTCCCTCCTTTCCGTCAGTCATGCTGTTGCTTCGTCTTCTCCCCGTGCCCACTTCTTGTCTCGCTCCTTGCCTTGCAAATTACTCTGTTTTGCATTTCTCATTGCCCTCTGCACTCCTTTGCCCAGCCTTCACATCCCCGTCCTTTCCCCCCTCACTTCTCCGTCCTAATCTGCCCCCTCTCGTCCCAGCAGGCCGCTCACACGGGAGCAGCAGTGGCGGGGGACATGGAGTGCACCAGCAGCAGCTGCTCTCCACCCAGCCCACCCGCAGCTAAGTACCCGCGCTGCCTCTTGCGTTCTTTTTTGGTCCATTTCAGTCCTTGCTGCATCTCCTGTCGCTTGTGCATTCAAACGCAAGCCGCTGGTTGAGCCGAAACTTCAAGCCACAGACCCCTTTTTCTTGGGTAATTTCCCCCAGGTACTGCAGGTATTCTCTCAGGTCTGCAGGTAAGCCTCCCTAGGTGTGTACCTCTCTTGGGTCTGTGGCTTGTAGCTGAGGCTGCACCAGTGGCCTCCTTCTCTGCTCCCACATGCCATCTCATGCACTCCTCTCACATTTCTACCCCTAGCCGCTTACTCACTTCTCTTCAGTTCTCTCCTTGCCGGTTGAGGGGAGGGGTGTGGGGTCAACACCGCCACTCCCTCACGCTCCTCCCCTGTGGCTGTGCAGGTGCAACGGTGGGAGGGGAGGGGGGCAGCACTCCACTTGGCTGGGGCGGGAAGGGAGCTTGGGTCGTCTGAAACAATGTGAGCCTCTTTTTCCGTCCTTTCCGTCAGTCATGCTGTTGCTTGGTCTTCTCCCCGTGCCCACTTCTTGTCTTGCTCCTTGCCTTGCAAATTACTCTGTTTTGCATCTTTTCTCATTGCCCTCTGCACTCCTTTGCCCAGCCTTCACATCCCCGTCCTTTCCCCCCTCACTTCTCCGTCCTAATCTGCCCCCTCTCGTCCCAGCAGGCCGCTCACACGGGAGCAGCAGTGGCGGGGGACATGGAGTGCACCAGCAGCAGCTGCTCTCCACCCAACCCACCCGCAGCTAAGTACCCGCGCTGCCTCTTGCGTTCTTTTTTGGTCCATTTCAGTCCTTGCTGCACCTCCTGTCGCTTGTGCTTTCAAACGCAAGCCGCTGGTTGAGCCGAAACTTCAAGCCACAGACCCCTTTTTCTTGGGTAATTTCCCCCAGGTACTGCAGGTATTCTCTCAGGTCTGCAGGTAAGCCTCCCTAGGTGTGTACCTCTCTTGGGTCTGTGGCTTGTAGCTGAGGCTGCACCAGTGGCCCCCTTCTCTGCTCCCACATGCCATCTCATGCACTCCTCTCGCATTTCTACCCCTAGCCGCTTACTCACTTCTCTTCAGTTCTCTCCTTGCCGGTTGAGGGGAGGGGTGTGGGGTCAACACCGCCACTCCCTCACGCTCCTCCCCTGTGGCTGTGCAGGTGCAACGGTTGGAGGGGAGGGGGGCAGTACTCCACTCGGCTGGGGCGGGAAGGGAGAGTATCGGGCTGGGTTGTCTGAAACAAGGTGAGCCTCTTTTTCCACCAGTGGCCCCACTCCTCTTCCTCCCTGTCTGCCTCGCCTGCACATCTCCCTTTCCATCTGCATACCTCTCTCTCCACTTAACTTCCC